CCCTTAAGGACCCAACAATAAGGTCCCTGGAATCATAGGGCTCCACATATCCGAGCATCCCGAAGTCTTGAACGTGAACACCCCATGGCAGGATTGCGATCTGACACACTCCTGTTAATATTCGAAGACCCAGCGTAAGCTTACGGCCCCAATACTAACTGGGAGTTTTCGAAAATAGGGGACCCTAATATGGCATCCTAAATAATAGGATCCGTACTATAAGTAGGTATCCCTTCTTTTAGGAAGCCCCCAACTAAGCGCAAGCCCAGGCGTCGCCTGCCAAGACACAGTCGTGGGCAGCGAGCTTTGCCCCGCTTTGGTGGCCTGACTCAGCTTAGGGTTTAGGATTTATAGGTCTACACAGGCTTTTAGCACAGTTTGTGTAGGGATTTACATTACACGGGTTTCAGAAGAGGGAAAGTCGCTGTAATAAGCTTCCCTACTATGCCATGGGCTAGTAGTATATGATATTCAGCAAAACGCACTAGATTACCTGAAACTGCAAGGGTGAGGGCTTTTGAATTCAATTTAAGGAGTCAAAAGTTCAGTGAAAGTCGGGAGCATGGTTTTCTAAAGGCTGCCAACAAGCATATTTGCGGTACATCTCAAATCTGGCGCTGTATAGCTGAATTTCCCGTAGCTCCAGGCCCGTTACGAAATCTTTGATGAAACTTTTAGCCCTTTTAAAGGAGGCTTCTAAAGGTGGTCCGAACAAGGGAGGGAGGGAGGCAGGGAGGGAGGAAAGGATGGACGGGTGCAAAGCCAGATAGATACATTGGTGCTTGACATTATATATATATATATGTATATATATATATATATATATATTTATAGACACATATACAGAAAGATATGTTTATGTATACCGCTATACCTACGTACAGACATATGTACATGCATGCATGTACATGCATGTCATAACGGTTAAGGTTTCGTGCAGGGTTCAGGGATTCGCGTTTGGATTGTTTTGGGCTCACTGCTTTCGGGTTTGGAGCCCGGCAATCCAAGTTAAGCCCTGACAGTCTTACCCAGACCCCCCCCAAAAAAATCTAAAAGTATAGACCCCTTTATTTGGGAAGGTATAGGAACCCTGTTAAAGGACCTGGTAAAGCCCAGAACGATATCGACGATGCATGAAGCCCTGCCCGTTCATAGCCCTCAAAACTTTCTTGTCAAGGGAACCTTCATAGAAAAGCCTTTAATACCCTTTTCGCACCCTTATAGAACCCTTAGAATGCCCTCCAAACGAACGCTCACGGAACCCTATGCCCTTTACTGCCTCAAAGGAATCGCCATGAAACCCTAGAGTGCACTTGTAGAAACCTTACGGAACCCGTACATTGCCCATACAAGAACTGTTATGGAACCCCATAGTGCGTTCATGGTAGCCTTATGGAGCCCTCAAAGCACCCAGCCAGCTGAGCATGGACCCTTAAACCCTAAACCTTAAAGCCCTTAGGTAGGAGGGAAAAAAACCTAAACTCTAAGCCTCTAAGCCCTAAACCCTAAACCCCTAAACCATCCTAAACCCTAAACCCTGAAGCCCTTCTAGAACCTTTCTAGTAACCCTTAAGGAGTCCTGAAAGGAACCCCTATTGGGTACATGGACCGTTAGGGTCCCAGAGCCTCCAGAACCCCTTAATTAAGGAATATACCTTAAATTAGAATAGGATCCCTTATATGATTTAAAGTATATTCCTTAATTAAGGCTAGGACCCAGAGTAGGCCCTTATTCCCTTTTTTAAGGTCTTGGTTCCCTTATAACCCCCTTTAAACCAAAAAGGGCACCCTTTTTAGTGCTAGGTTATTCTTGGGTCTAGAAGGGGTTTTGGAGTCTCTGGGGTGAGCCTTAACCCTTCCGAGAGCCCAGGCTCTCGCCGGCTCTTGGCCCACAGCACAGGTCCTTTTGAGCCCAACGCCGAGCTCTGGGGTTTGGGAATTAGGGTTTAAGGGTTGAGGGTTGAGGATTTAGGGTTTGGAGGCTGTCGGTTTTCTTCTTCTTGGGGGAACTGCCTGTCATTATCTGGTTTGTTCCAATGTGTGTTTCATTGGTATTGGGTTTTCTGAGGTTCGTGGCCATGGTTTCACGGTTTTTTGAAAGAGGCTGGAGGGGTTGTGGGCTGCAAGGTGCTTTACAAGTGGCCAAGGAGTCGGGACTTGTCTAGGGTTGAGGGTTCAGGGTTTGCATTTTCGTTCAGCAGATGGTTCGGTTAGTTCAGATGTTGTGGGCTTCCTGTATCTCACTGTTCGAAGGAAACTGAGGGCTGCGTTCGACGGGGTTGAAATGCGGTAGCCCAGGGTGCTTGGCAGGCTTCTTGGTAGCAGTTCGAATCGCCGTGGGGGCTTGATGGTCTTTATGGTCTTTTGCATTGCTGTACAAGTGTTCGGAAAGGTTGGAATCCTTTCTGGACGTTAACTGGAAAAATCAACGACATGGCCTTAACAAATAAAGTGGATCTACGTACCCATATAGTAAAACCTCGACCCCGAGAATTCCTTATTAAGGCCCAAGCGAACACTAACTATGTCCATGGACCCTTATACCGCACACCACAGACCCTTAAGTGCGATCTTACTTGGCAATTGGCTTACCTCAAGCTGCTGTCGGGTTTGTAAATCAGATGCTGAACCGAAATGCCGACGAGTACTGAGATTTTGTGAAGGGTACTACAAGATATGAAAGTAGAATAGAGGTCCACGAATCACCGAAGCATAAAACCCTAAGGGTTCTATGAGGGCTTTGACTCAAGCCTGTGAAAGTTTGAGAAGGGGATTTCTACAAGGCTGTAAGGGTCCCAAAGCAGTGCTTTAAAGGCTTACGGGTTCCTAAACCCCAAACCCCTGAACCCTAGACCTCTGGGTTCCCTTACTCTATAGCCTCCTTAGAAATCTTTTTCATTTGTGTTCATATACAACCCAGGAGAATATGAAACATATGTTTTTATTATGGTTCTAAGGGGGTATAGTCGGGTATAGTAATTCAGGAATTTACTTTACGTCATATCAGGGATCCTACTATGGTTTAAGGTATGTTTCCCAACTAAGGGATCTAGGAGTCTTTGGGTTTATCAGTCACTCAAGGCGCGGAGCTATTTTGGCGGTTTCTTATTATATGATTACAGTGTAAGGGGCCCCAAAGCCCTATTCTAATTATTAAGGCCCCTACAGGAAGGGTTCGTCACGCGGGCTTGGAGATGCTTTTCTTGCTTTTTACCCTAAACCCTTAACCCTAAAGAGGCTCTGCTGGGCTTGGCCTGGAGAGAGAGGGCGAGTTGGCCGTGGTACCCCGGGCCTTCGGTTTCAGGGCTAGGACGCCCAGTAGTACTCTTACTCCCTTTTTGTAGTCCTAGGTTCCTTATACAGTTACCCAATACCAAAAAGGGAGCCCTTTTTATTCTTAGGTTACTGGACATCCTAGGCTAGTGTTGGATCAGGGCTTTCGGGTTTTAGAGTTTTACGGCTTAGGGTTTAGGGTTTAGTCTAAACCCTAAAACTCTAATTTAGGCCCTAATAGAGGTTTGGGGTTTAGAGGTTTAGGATTTAAAGAGGTGTATTCAGGGTTTAGGATTTAAAGAGGTGTATTCAGGGCTTGCGGTTTTCAGGACTTCATGGGCTCACGGTCTTTGCGGGCTTAGGGATAACCGGGTATCATCTGGGATTCGCGAGCTTTTTGTTTCGTAGGATTCAGGGCCATTCGGTGTGCGGATTGGAAGTCGTCATTCCTGGGGTATCGATGTTTCAGGAGAGATTCTGTAAACAATTCAGCAAAGTGCAGCAACGTAGCTTGGAGGGTCTAACTCATCGAACTCAATGTCTTGGCACATGGGTTGAGGGCTGGCTAGGGGTTGCTCAACTATGCTAGCTGCCCTATTCTACAAAGGCATTGATATTATCTGGAGCATCTTAACGGTCTTAATTACTGTGGCATGTAGTGCAATTCAACATGCAGCGCTGATATACTTACACTCGCACCGCCTAAACAGAGGCTTTTGTCAGCTGCTGCTATGTTGCTTGGAAGAATCCACCAAATTCTGGCACAACCCAGACGTCAGTACCAACTGTGTATGCGCAATGCATGCCGTTTGGCTGCTGTCGGGTAGCCCCCCTATTCAACCCTCCCCCTCAAAGCCTAAACCCCATTGTTAACAACCCAATACCCCCAACCCCGGACCATAAACCCGAATGGGGCACCCTAAACCCTAAAGCCTCGAAGGCCAACAACTTCCTGGATCTTTTGAAAGTCAGGTGTCCCTTCTCATTCATAATTTCCCTATACAAGTCCTCGAGGCATGTTATTTGGGGTTAAGGTAGCCCCCTAGGCCCAAAGCCTGCCCCAGAAACCTGGATCCCACTCTCAACCCGAAACCCCAGACTCAATATGTTGGGAGAATGGCCAATAGTGTGCCTGAGGGTTCCCTACTATACCTATATTTGTCATAGACCCCAAAACCGTACTCTGGCTATTAAGGCCCCTAGACGAACCCTAAACCCTAAAGTCTAAACCCTAAACCCTAAACCCTTAAACCCTAAAACCCTAAACCCTAAACTCTAAACCCTAAACTCTAAACCCTAAACCCTAAACTCTAAACCCTAAACCCGAAACCCTATGAAGTGCTCAGGCCAGGAACCCCCTAGAAACGCTGTGAAAGTCATGTAAGACCCAAAGGCTCCATGTACCCATAACAGGGTTCCTTTAAGGGGTTCTACAAGGGTTCTACAAGGGTTCTAGAGGGTTTAAGGTATAAGGCTCCAGGGTACCCATACAATACATACTTTGGCCTCAAAGTAGTCCCTATATAGGTACTTTCAGGCCTAAGCATCTACTATATGGGTACATGGAGCCTTAGGGAGAGCAAGCTTGTGTTGGGTTGCCCGACTTTGTTATTCAAGCACCCAAGCCACAACATACATACCCGATTATCGGAAATGGTGATGGTCCCTGAGCCCTAGTGGAACCGTGCTAAAACCCCGGGACCCTGGAGCACGACTCCGACGCAGCCATGGCGCGGGTCGGTTCTCCCAGTTCTCCTCCAAAGGCGATGCCGGGCTTGTTGCTTGGCGGCTTGTTTGGGGTTTAGGGGTTAATGGTTAAGGGTTTAGGGTTTAAGGTTTAGGGTTTGAGGTTTAGGGTTTAAGGTTTTAGGGTTTAGGGTTTAAGTGCTCGTACAGGTTTTCAGGGTTCAGGGGCTTACAATTTTTTGGGCATGGAGTTTAGGGATGGTTGCGGGTTGTGGAGGTTTCAGGTTTCGGCTGCTCAGAAGGATGCATTCGACAGCTGCGGGTGTGAACAGCTTTAGGGTTTAGGGTTTAGGGTAGCTGCGTAGTCCAGGTGTAAAAGGGTAGCTGCTTCTTCATTGTCCTGCTGCACATTGTCCATTTACAAAAATAGCATATACTTCGATCACGCTTAAACCATCTTTGAACCCAGAAGAGTATCTAAGTGGCGAGTCCTTCAAGGCCCTTTAGAAACTCTCCCAAAGAAGACACCATGTACTTTTATAATAGATACTTAAGCCTGAAAAGGGGTCCGTATATAGGTACTTGAAGGCCTAAGTATACTATATGGGTACATGGAGCCTTAGGGTCTATGGTGCTGAAAAGCCGATCCAGCCCAAAGCCTGAAACCTAAACTTGGGACCCTTACCCTCGGGCTCTAAAGACTCATATTTTAAGGCTTCTGGGCCCAAAGGCCATACTGCATAAGGCTTCTGGGCCATTTTGAGCCTTAGGGTTAACCTCACCAGGGTTTAGGGTTTAGGCACGCTGCAAACCCCCTTAACCCTGAGTCACAACACCCCGACAGCCCATTTGTTTTGTGCTGGTCTGTAAAACACGGAGATAAACGCTGAATCCGTAGGTGCTAAATGTATATTACGTATATATATATATATATATATATATACAGACATATACATATACATATACGTAATAAACAGCTGGTTTTTACGAGATAAGTGTATTTTATATATATATATATATATATATATATGTATGTGTATATATATATATATATACACAGACACATATTATATTTACAGATAGAGAGAGAGAGAGAGAGAGAGAGAGAGAGAGAGAGAGAGAGAGAGAGAGAGAGAGAGAGAGGGAGGGAGGGAGAGGTAGAGGGAGAGAGAGAGAGAGAGTGAGAGTGAGAGTGAGAGTGAGAGTGAGTTCTGCTGTCGGGATTTAGGCTTGCACCTTCAGGCTTGAAGGCTGTACCGACGACATGGCGATTGCACGACGCATAAAGGAGCTGAGCTGCGTGGCCTTGCATTAGCTTTCTAGACTCCCCTGAGGCTCCAAGGGGGTTCCGACAAGGGATCCTTGAAGGGTTCCTTTCAGGTAAGGGTTTACAGTTTACGGCTCCATGCCTCGATATAGTATATACTAGAAAGGTGCATGGAGTATAGGGTTCCCCTTCGTCAACCATTGCAAGCCCTTTTAAGGTAGGGGATGTATTAGTCAGGAGTCTGCAGCGTGTTGTTGCGAAATGCTGCTGTGTACGGGTTTTGCCCGGATTGTTGTTTTTTGGTTTTGTACATCAGGGCCGCTTCGGGGGTTTTAGGTTTCATGGGCTTTCGGTATCCGGACTCATTCAGGAAGTGGAACTTTACTTAATGTAAGGAAGGGCCTTAACAAAGAGAAGAGGGTTTTGGGGCTGATTACATATACTATAATTATCATAAGGGCCCCCCCCCCCAAAAAAAAATAGTACAGGTAATTAATCAAGACCCCCAATTGTTTAGAACCGTAAAACCCTACATCCCCCAAAGTCCCAACAGCCCAGGAACGAGCGGTGTCCTGTTTAAAGACTCCTACAGCGAGTTGCTGGGGACCCTGGCCCAGCTTCTTGGCATCCTTGCGCTTGAAGTCGGCATGCCCGCATTTAGGATATGTATGTATATATATATATATATATATATATGTATACATACATGCATATATACATACATATACATTTACAGATAGATATATATATATATATACATACATACATATATACATATACACAGAAAGCGTCGCACTGCAGGCCCGAGTCTTTTTCTGCTTTCTGTTTTCACACTGTAGGCCCCAGACACACGTACGGACATACATGCATGCATACATACACACATATGCATGGCTGGCTGCATGGACGGAGGGAGGGAGGGATGGATGGATGCATTCATGTTTGTGTGTGTCTCTATGTCTGTATGTATGTATGGATGTATGTATATGTGTATGTGTTCACATGTACATATATATATATATGTGTGTGTGTGTGTGTGTGTGCATATGCATCTATCTACCCATCTATATAGCTATACACACATACATATACATATATATATATACATACATACATACATATATATATATATATATATATGTGTGTGTGTGTTTAGATACATATATATATACACACATGCATTCATGTATACACACATATACATATACATATGCATATACATTTACGTATCGTATATATATATATATATATGTGCATACGCTAGGTGTACAAACATATGCTGCTTAGCTATGTATATGTATGTATGTATGTATGTATGCATGTATGTATGTGTGTGTATATATATATATATTATATGCATGTGCACGTATTGGACTAGAGTGTGTTTACATATGCTTCATGCATCTATAGGTTTTAGATGTAGATGAAATTATAGATATACGATAGATAGACAGGTTGATTGATAGATACATGGATAGGTATGTACATTTACGTGGAAACACCGAGCATTCAGACTCTAGAACGAAAACACCTACTGCCAAATGTTGTACGTGTATATGTATGTATCTGCAGTCTCGCCAGGTATGAGGTTTTGAGGCTTGGGGGTTGGATGTGTGTGCGGGTTTTCAATTTTCAATGTTCAGAAGTTGCAGCCTTTCATAGTACCGATGTAAGAAATGCAAAAGGTGTACCCACCAAGCCCTCTCATCATCAAGTTAAGGCGCCTTTCCTTTGCTTTTCCAGGGTTTGACCTCCTCTAACCTTCATGCCTGAGAGTTTTGAGGATGTTGTCCTGGTTGAGTCGCTGCAGACCAGGTGCAGAAGCGTTTACGGCTGAGGGTTCTTCATTTTGGGTTTAGGTTGCCCGTCCAGGAGAGCCATGTGGCGGCAAGCGTGCACACTGCTGCTGGAGATGCGCTTCCGAGCCATGTTCCCTGCCAGCCAGCCCGCCTTCGTTGTTGCGCAAATCCCCATACGATTAGTGATAGCTATACTTGTTCGTAGAGTCCTCCACCCTACAACCCTCCACTGTGAGCTCCTACAGCCTCATCGTTGTAAATGCTCTTGACAGACTTGACAGCTTTCTAGTCTAGTCCAGTTGCCAGGACCCCTGCATGAAGCAAGCAGCTTAGTGTCGGACCCGAAACGAGGCCGCCCTTGAGGTGTAACGATGATGGTTATAAGGCTTATTCTAGGTTCTAAGTTGAGGCTTCGGAGAAGTTTGCGGTCGTGGGTTGTTGATTTTTTGGTGTGTGTGTGTGTGTGTTAAGGGCCTGATGATCGCGAAGACGTTGCGGTGATGTTCCAGCGATGTGTGACGGTGATGCGATGGCGAATGTCCTGTATTGATGTGGGTCTCGAGTTTTTTGGCGTTGCTGCTGATGATTTCGATGATGATGATGATCATCATGATGATGCTGGTGGTGGTGGTGTTGGCCGGTGGCTGGTGCGTGGTGGTTGTCGTCGTGGTGCAAGGGATGGTGACGGCTCATGATGGTGCTTGTGCCAAGGAAACCATTTCCGCCCTCCTACGCTTTGGTGGCGACAGCTTGTTGCAAGGTGCGCCGAAGGGCTGAGATCTCCCAGGATTTCGGGTTCTTGACCGCTTTGGTTTTCATGTAGGGTTTGACGCTAGAAATTTTCAATGCATACAGAAATTGTAAGTAGGGAGCCCTGCATAGATGTACATTGTGGTACATCAGTCAAATCAGTCAGAGAGTGAACATGCAGGCTTCAGTTATAAAACTTAAGATTTACGGTGTAAGGTTATGTATCAAGGCTTACGGCGCCAAAGCCTTGAACCGAAACACCCGCAGCAACACACACCGCAACTTTCTGGACACCGTGGTCCCGCAAGCATATGAACTGTCGCATTTCCCAGGCGTCGCAGCCAGACGAGGCTGCAAGAGTGATCGACAGACTCTGGACCGCTCAGGCTATGGATCTGAGCCGTGGCATAATGAAAATTTGGAAACCTGCCCAAACTCTATAATTGGAGGGTCGGGCGACTTACTAAGTAGTTCCTTAAAGGGATCCTTAAGGTGTTCCTTAAGGGGCTCCTTAAAGGGATCTATAGGGTTTAGGGCTTACTTGGAGGGTCGGGGGACTTGCTAAGTAGTTATATATGTGCCATAACCCTATGCCTTGAGCGAGTGCCCGAGCCGAAACCCGTAACCCTAAACCCGAAGCGATTGAAACGCGCTCCCTGCTTCGTTACCCGAGTGAGTTCTGCACACCCTTCCTGCTCATGTCCGAGCCCGCGCAGCAAGTATCCTGGGTATTCCTTTAATTTTCCTTAGAAGTAGCTGAGTAGGTAACCTTTGACCTCTTGGAGTGCATAAAAACCTTACCATACCTGAAAAGGTCAACCCTTTCTTGGGCTTGGTACTCAGTCCCTCAGTTTCGGGGTCCTGAGGTGCTGCTATAAGCTTAGGGATCTTTAGAAGTAATTTTTAATTTTTGGTTATTATAAATCCTTAAGAAACAGCTAAAAATACAATTGTTGCTAGGGTTCTAAGTTCAGTATAGTAAGGGCTCCTTTCAAGGAGCACATATAGTCCTGGTAGTACTAGCAAGACCCCGTACAGGGGACCCTTCTTAACCCTACTCATGGCTCTCTCCCCAAGGGTCCATGTACCCAACTAGTAGATACTTGAGGCCCAAAATACCTCTATAGGGACTACTTAAAGACCAAACCCTAAACCCCTAAACTCTATGCAGGGACTACCTAAAGACCAAAATATGTACTATTCGGGTACATGGGCCCTTCGGGTCTGAAAAAGGGACCTTCCAGAGGGGATCTATATCCCCGACAGTCCCTCTAATCCTAAGTCCTATGTGCGTGGTTGTCAAAATTATACTTCCTTTTAAAATTTTAGGTCATTATAGTACGACACCTAATATTTAGGTTGCCCAAAAAGGGACCATGTAGGTGACGCCAAAATCCTGAAACTCGGAGATTTCGGGTGGCTCTATAGGGTGTTCTGTCGGGTTTTTGGGGGGTCTGAGGGTTTAGGGCTTTACGGGTTTGAGGGTTTAGGGTTTAAGGTTTTCTCTCGGGCTTTAGGTTTAGGGGTCAACTTTCAAGTAAGTTCCTGTAAGCTGCAACGGTTGGAGGTGGTTAATTTTAACAGTCCTACTGTTCTGTATACGCTCTGGGGTTTGTAAAATCGCGCAGCAGCCCTGTAAACTTGCATCAAGATTCAGGGATGTGTAGGGTTATTAAAACCCTAAACCCTAAACCCTAAGGGGTTTAGGGTTTAGGGTTTCAGGGTTTTCAAGGTCGACATGTGGTCAGAGATGTACTCTGCTGGGGGTATTAGCCCGGCAGCGGACAATCCTGGCTACATGGGGGTTTCCGAGAATAGGGGGTACCTAATTTTGGGGTCCTTATAGTAAGTATCCTACTATTTGGGGTACTATAGTAGGGTCCCCTATGTTCGGAAACGCCCACATCACGACCCTAGAACTAAGCCCTAAACGGTCCTAATTACGGCCTATAAAATCTCGAAGTGTTCCCAAAAAGACACCCTAAACCCTGAATCAATTCCTTCTCCCAGAAGCCTAGTACCAACAATCCTAAGGCCCAGTAAGCCCGAAGCACGGGCCGCTCTAAATTCAAATTTAAATCACCCTATATTGGCATCCTATCAGGATCGGTTGTGGAGCTGTCCTCTCGCGCTTCGCAAGTGGCGGACTTTGGAAGGAGGCGCCGACAGGTTGTGGTCGGCTAAAGGTTCCCGTGACCTTCTACTATGGAGGGTAATATAGGGTGGTTGAATTCGAGACTCCCACGACCTTATGACCTTGTGAAGGGATATGGAGGGTGTGCTATTGGTGCTTGCCCATCCATCCACTCTGGGACTTTGATATTTGGAGCATGCCGCGTCTGTTGGTTGCCCTCAATGAGGCATAATTGGAGCGAAGACTCAGGGCTTGGGGTTTCGGGTTTAGAGGTCAGGATATGCAAAGCTAACGTACCAACGACTGCGAATGCTGCAGCTTTGCTGCAGCCGCCGATGTTCTACAGCAAGTATGTTCGCTATCGCCTACCACCACTGCCACCATCACCACTGCAACCATGACGTCGCTCTTGCTTGTCCAACGATGACGACGCGCTTGCTTGGGCGGGGTGCTTGGCAGATTCCACATATGTCGATCAATATGTTTTAGTTAGTTGTCAAGGAAAAGCAAAGGGACCAACTGAAAGCAACAGCAGCCGTACTGCAGCAGTTATGCGGTTTGTCACATAACTGCGCATGCCACAGTAACGACTATGTTCGGACTGGAACTTTCAGGGCTTGCCGTGTCTCAATGTTGTCATGGGAGAACCGGTACCTGTCGAGCACCTAATTACGCAAAACGATAAATCGTCAGAACAACTGCGAAACTTCTACCCTACACCCGCAATCACGTAGATCATACAGACGTAGTCCCGGAACCGGGACCCTAAACCCACCCCCCCTAAACCATAAGCTCGCCTGGTCCGTCCGAGTGTGAGCGCCGAAACCACAAACTGTCGGTTTGCTTTCGAAGGCCTTGGCTTTCCTACAGCGGATGCCTCAAGCGAGGGTGGCACCGGATACTTATGCAGCTTTTCGCATGTCAGGCCTGTGCGCTGATGCCTAAGGTCGGGGTTTGTAAGCTTTCGAGACAAAGTTTACTAATGTAGGAACCTATAATTCCAAAATAGTAGGATCCAAATAAAGAGCCCTTATAGAGACTCAAGGTTTCTTAATCAGGTTCCTACATTAGTCAGAGTAATGCGCCTGCACAGAGTAGGGTGAACACGAAAGGCCGCGATGCAAGGATCTGGCTAGCCCCAAGCCCAGTGGCAAAAAAGTCAGAACTAGACCGATCATGGTGGTTGGGATCTGCAGTTTGAAGGATTCGGGGCTGAGCCCTGTAGATTGGGACACTTTTTGGGCCCTTCTTATAAGGGTGCCGTACGCTTTTGGGGACCTAAGAAGGGACCCGACCTTAGAGAACTCTTGTAGGAACCTGATTAAGAAATCCTGGGCCTGTAACTTCACAGTATTAGGATTCATATGGGTAGTTGTCAAAATTATGGCCCCTTTTGGGTACCCTAAATATTAGGTGCCGTGTTAAAGGACCCAAAAAGGTAGCATGATTTTGACAACCACCCATATGAGGAACCCTAATTAATGAAGGCCCAGGCTTAATCAGGCTCATACAGTAGATCCCTTTCGGGAACCTTTTAGGGAGCCGTGTAGATCCCTTTAAGGAACCCTAAGAGATCCCCTTGACAACTACCCAAATGCTACCAGACAGAACCTTTGCAACCTACTTCTCAAGAGCCAAGGCTCTAGGCGGTATCTTAGGGTTCCTGTAAAAGGATTCTATATGGGTACTATAATGGTTCCTGGAAAGGGCTTTATAAGGGGTTAGAGTTTCCGACAATTCGGGGTAGTAGGAACCAAGGCCTACAACAACGTCCTCGCATCTGTACGGCGAGCTTCCTGGCAGAGATGGCAGACGACAGAGGGGGTGCGGTCGGTGATAAAACTCGAGTAGGGTTTCAGGGTTCATTACAGCAGTACATCATTAAATCTAGATCATTAAGTATAGATAAACAACACACACACACACACACGCACATTTTTCTACGTATACGCCCCAGACCCTTAGTTAACCGCCCCCCAAACCCTTACTTAACCCTAAATTCCTAAACTGTCAACCACTTGAAACCCCTACAGCAAACAACAAAGCATAGCAGAGTCAAGCCACAACCCAAAGCCCTAAACCCTAAACCGTTAGACCCCTAAACCCTAAACCCCTAAACCTTAAACCACTAGACCCCTAAACCCTAATCCCCTAAACCATAAGCCCCAAGCCCTAGACCCTAAGCCGAAATTTTAAACGAAACCCTTAAAGGCTGTAGAACCCCACAGTACCCTTTAAAGCGTCCCTAAGCCCTCGCTCCTCCAAGGCTGGCAGCTCCATTGATGCCTCACAACTTCTTGCAGAGATGCAGGAGGAGGTGCTCCTTATAGGGCTCCTTAAAGGGATCTATAGGGCTCCAAAGAAGGATCTGTAGGGCTCCTTAAAGGGATCTCTCTCTCTATATATATATATATATGGGCCTCCTTAAAGGGATCTATAGGGTTCCTTTAAGGGATCTAACTATAGGATACCTTAAAGGGATCTATAGGGTTTAGGATTTAGAGTCTACTTGGAGGTTCATGGGACTGGGTAAGTACAGTTGTAAGTACTTTAACTGCGGTTATAACCAATTATGAGTATAGCTACCTTGTTTAGAACCATAGTTACTCAGTCTCATGAACCTCTAAGCACTCGAGTGAGGACAGTTTGGGATTCTAAGGGTGGCATGGTTTTAGGGTTTCGGAATTTAGGAGTTTAGGGTTTTTTAGGGTTTCGGAATTTAGGAGTCTAGGGTTTGGGGTATAGGGTTTAAGGGTGTCATGGTGCGGGTTTTGAGTTTTTGCAGGATCTGTGGATCCAGGATTGAGAGCTTTTTTTGCAAGCTGGATGCAAAAAGGCTTTCAAGGTCTCAGTTTCAGAGTTCTTGGGCCTGACTGAGGGACGCATTGAGGTCTAGGACCCAGAGCAGGCCCTTATTCCCTTCTTTAGGGGTTAGGTTCCTGCATAATTCCCTTTAAACCAAACAGGGCACCCTTTCTATTCCTAGGCTACTCTTAGGTCTAGAGGTAGTGGAGCTTACAGGATTTGGGGGCTTCGGGGTTGGGGCCAAAGGTTTAGGATACCTTGGGTACGGCCCCCATACAGTAACAGTCTATAATAGAGCTACTATTAAGGCCCTTATATATCTATATTATGAATATTATCCAACTGTTACTGAGTGGGGGCCGTACCCAAAGGATACCTTCATTCCGCAACCCTACACCACAAAGCCCTGCGCGCCGGCCTAGGTCTCACAGTGGGCCCGTTTTTCACTTTCGCCGTCTAGGTTTCTTAGAATTTAGTATTAACCTAAGCCTTAGACCCTAAACCCTAAACCGCTAAACCTAAACCGCTAAATCCCTAAACCCTAAACCCCTAAACCCTCAGCCCGTAAACCCTAAACCCTTTCTTTTCCAGGAGCTAAAGCCAGATGACTACACCTACAGCCTGGCGATTGACCTTGAAAGGGATGCGGGCAGAACCTTGGCTGCTTTGGTGACGTTTTTTTTTTTTTGGGGGGGGGCTAGGGTTTGGGGTTTGAGGGCTTTAGGGGTTTAGTAGAACCGTGTTTAGGGGTTTAGGGGGGTTTTAGGGGGAGCTTTTTGTGGTGTATGCAACTGTTGTGCAGTATATCAGGTGCGAAGCGCATGTGCATGCAAGCGTACGTGCTTTCATACCATTCATTCACAACTGCATACAATGCAAACATACAGTGATACAGCAAGATTTCTTGAATACATTAGTACATGCATGCATACTTGCATGCGTGCATGCATGCCTACAGTCATGCGTTCATAAATCCAGGCGTGCGTACATACGGCATTCTTGAACAACATGTGTGCAACTATGTATGCATGGTTGTTTGCATGTATGCTCGTACTTACGTTCGCAAGGAGCAAGGGGCAAGGGACGGGCCGCAGGCAGGCGGGCTGGCCTGCAGGCCGGCAGGTAATGTATGGATTGCATGAAGCTGTTGTGATTTATGTCACTTGTATAACAAGTTTGTTCTATGTACTGGATGCGAAGTATGGAATATCTTAGAAGCTGCCCCCCCCCACTCTGTAATAGTGACTATAAGAATTATATTAGGGCCCTCTTATATTCCTATATTATACCACTATTACAGAGTGGGGGCCCCTAAGGAATATGTGTCTGCGTTGCCGTGTAGTCGAATTATGAACTCCCAGCATGGCCTGGCCAAGCTTTAGGTGGTATTATTAGGGAGACCCCCAAAAGGGTTTAGGGTTTAGGCTTTAGGGTTAGCCCTTCTGAGCCCTACTTCTGGCTCTCTTAAAAGGGGCCTTATTGAGAGGGTCTATATCCCCAAGGGTCCCCCTAATCCTAACTCCCAACCTTTGACGAGGATGGGAGATGGCTTTGAGCCATTTCCGGTCCATGCAGGCAAACCACATCCAGGGCACCTTGGCTTTCATCATGGAATAATGAAGTAGTGTTGTTTTGTTTGGAACAGGGAGTTGCACTAAAGTTTTTCTCGGGAGCCCATTTTAGTTTCACCAACTGAGACCTCAAACTAGCCGAGTAGGTCAGGATTTGGGGCTTTACCGGAATTGATGAGGTGTTGCAGCTTAAACACCCGAGTTGGTCATCCAACCTTCTGTTTGTACTGACTGCTATCATACTTGCACGGGTGACTTGTAACTGAGCAGCACGTTCGCGGGAGTTTGGCATACACAAATAATCACAGTGTGTCAAGGGCTTTGAAAGTGTTATACCATATCTCAAGGGCTGCGGTAGGGTGGTGGAGCATTCCTTTCAGAGGGCATTGAGGGAGGTAGAAGGTTCCTTTGAAGGGCATTCGCAGGGTTCTACTCTGGCTGTCATGGGGTACGACCGGGCTTCATACGAGTGACACAAGCCGAACAGTAGTGGGAACTACAATGACAGGAATAGTGAATAGTGTTTAAAATAGTACTAGTACCAGTGCTGAACTTGCAAGTTTGGAGTTTCGGAATCGTCGGGCAGTCAGTCAGGTCTTGGAATCTGGTATTTCGCCATGTAACGGCTTGAAGTTTGGACACAGCTGTGGCATTCCCCCTTAGTTTGCCCCATCCCAAAACCAACGTGACACTCGCGGGCTTTTTCACACTTACGGATTACAAGTGTTGCTCGGCGATTTCTCGTCGGATACTCCCTGACCCCGATGCCTTTGAACGAGGACCATTGTGCTGCGCGCGAAAGTCGGAAACAAGACACGAACTGTCAGCCCAAAGCCTAAATCTTTCCGGAGGGATAAAGGAAACCAGACGCGTCTTTTGCGGTTCCCAAGCCCTAATCCTTGAACTCCAAAAGTGGGAACTCCAACTCCTTGGGATTTTCGACTCAACCACAACATAAGGTGAAGTTTTTCCTTCGTGCAATACACATCTTAACCGGATCCTACACTTTTAAAACCTGCCAAACTCTAAACCCATCAACCACTCTTTTGCAACAGGGACCTCCGGGTAGCAGTGCAGAGGGTTTAGGGTTTGGGGGTATTACCAATCAGACTCCTTCGGGTTCAACATGCCCTAAACCTAAACCGTACACCAAAGGCAACACTGTGGTGTACAGCGCTGCGATCAACGCCTGCCGTTCGGGACTTCGGTGCCTTGGATGTAGATTAGGGTAGGGTTTAGGGCTTTACGGGTTTAGGGGCTCATCTTAGCAGCTGCAGGGAGCACCGGGCATGGTGTTCCGGATTCAGGCCTTCCCTAAAGCTCCATGTACTCATACATATAGCAGAATAAAGTATATGGTGTCATGCTTCGTTGGGTGGGGACAGCAGTGCCGCTCAGCATGTTAGCAGCAGCACAGAGCGAGTCCTTGCAAACGTTGCATGCAAGCACTGATGCGAGGCAGGTAGCATGCTTTCTCTCTACGTTCCTTATAGTTCCAACCCGTTTGTTTTCGTTGCAGACGAAGGCCGTCATGGATTGAGTTTACGCCACTCTTTGATTGGGGCGATGGCGAGGACATAGTTTGCTTTTTTGAGGATGGTGGTGTCGAGCAGGCTTTTAGCTTCAGAAGTTCGTAGCAGCGAAGATTAAGGCATCGTGACAGCTATGTATCGTTTGCAGGCCAGTAGGAATCATAGTTCAGGGCAGCCTAAGCTAACCCTAAACTTTAATCTTTCCAACAATCTTGTTTGATCTGCATGAATATACCCATCGAACATACTAAGACATGCAAACAGTGTAAGGTGTTTAAAAAGCATGTTCATCCCAAGGTTCTATAGGGCACTCGACACGAAAGAGGGAAGGTGTGCCTTTTTGCGGCGGACTGAATATTGTGGGTCTGGGGACGTCCGGCATCGGGCGGTTTGCATCCCTGCTCTTTCGAGGGAGATGTGGGGTGATGCGTCCTGATCTGAAGATGGAGATAGGTTCTTATTGCTGGGGTGTGGGAAGAGAGATAAGCTTTTTGGAGGGGTGTGGGAGTAGTGCGTCCGGGCATGCCCTGGCTATGTGGGGGAGATATGCTCTGCAGAAGGCTGCACAGAACAGCAGTACACTAGTTCAGTAGAATCAGAAATACAGTAGCACAGTAAAGTGCAGTAGTAATGTAGCAGAAGTACGGTAGTAGTGGTAGTAGTAGTAGTAGTAGCAGCAGTAGCAGCAGTAGTAGTACTTCAGAGTACAGTAGTACAGTGGTACCTGTAGCAGTATGGTCGTGGTGCAGCAGCGGCAGTGGTAGTACAGTAGCAGTACAGAAGTAGCACCCTAAGAGGGTCTACGTATCCAGAGCTGTTTAAGTTATAATCAAAGCCCAATCCCGATCACCCCTACCAGTCAAGGTTAACCATTTGCAGGAGGGAAACAACAACATAACATATTCCATGCTTTTTGGCGCATTCAAGAGCATGCCGAAGACAGGGCAATCTTGAAACACGCATATTTTTGAGGGTCACATGCAATCCCTGCCGGACAGGCCTTATCTTGCCATGGAGCTGCTGGAGGAGATTGCACAGACTTTTTCGGCTTGCGGGATTTGTGTTTAGTGTGCTTTTGTTGCCTTGTTTGCCTCAGACCTTCGACGAGAGAGGCCTGCCAGGTTTCTTGAGATCCATCGAACGCAACATGATGTTAAGGGCGCTTAGGGCCTTGAGCCATGCAGCTGGGCTTTGTATAGGGTTTAGATTCCTAGGGGTTGCGGCGGCCAGCTGATGGGGATGCTTTCTTCTGAGCTGCATGTGTAGGTGGTGTTCTGGCTCCTACAGATGTCAGCAAGACAACCTGCAATGTGGTGGAGCATCATATCAAAGGACTATGTAGTGCACTGAGATGGAATTTGTTTTACAGGCTTAAGTTTATGCTGCATTTGTACATGGACTCCTAAGGCTACACCAAAACCAGAATCCAGAGCTTAAGCCCTCAGCCGAAGGATGCTTAGTGGTATCCTTGCTGGGAGTGGGCTTTAGGGCTAATGCCTGCTACATGAGCCTCAATATTTACTGAATTGAAACTCAGCGTCGACTATACCTATATGAGCCTCGATGTGTAGTTCTCAAAAAAACTGCTTCTCTTGAGGTCCTGATTACAAGTCTGGCACATTTCGTTGGGTGAGTTTTGAAAGGCAGTTTTGATATGGGAATTTCCCAAAACAGGGGGTACCTTGTTTTTGGTTCTTTATTATAAGGATCCTACTATTTAGGGTACTACGGTTGATGGTACAACTCCTGCATTACCCATAATAATGAATATACAATAATTCCCGTAGTTTAGGGTTTTTAAGGTAATGCAGGATTGATATCATCAACCGTATATTAGGCTCCCCGGTTTTTGGAAACGCCCATAGACCGCCAGATAAACCCTTGGGCGAAGTCTCCTCAGACCGAAGCCTATGCCCCAGACGCCTTGGAGGATGCAACAGGTAAATCGTGGTTTAGAGTTTAGGGTTCAAGGTTTAGAGTGTAGGGTTCAGGGTTTAGAGCTTAGGGTTTAGGGTTTAGAGCTTAGGGTTTAGGGTTTAGAGCTTAGGGTTTAGGGTTTTGAGTTTAGGGTTTAGGGTTTCAGTAAATCCCTATTAAGGGTGTTCCTTTTAAATGCATTTTTTGTATGGGGTCCCAGTTGAGGGGATCGATTTTGTAGATCCTGCTGGGGGTCGGTCTGGGGTGTTGATGTTCTTGTACTAAAGCAATTGAAATGCCGAAGAGCCCATGTGCCCGTCTGGTGGTACTTGTATCTCCTTCGGCCCTACAGAGCCTATATCGGAACCCTGCTAGGCCTAAACTCTAAACCCTAAACCGTTTGTACGGTACAGGTACATGGGTCCCTAGGGTCAAGATGCCTGCAGGACATGAAAGAGAAAGAGATCGCCCCGGATGTACAAGAAGCTTGGCTATGCTTTAAACGGGCCGTGGGCTCAAGTAACCCTGAGGCTCCATGTACCCATATAGTATATACTCATGCCGTAAAGTAGCCATACATGCACTCCTTCAAGGCCTAAGTATCTACTATAAAGCTACATGGAGCCGTTGGGTAAGTTAGGACTCACAGGTTTCAAGTGGCAGTTAAGGGCTCGGTCGTTTTGTTCGGATAAGGCACTTCTTATTGCTGCATCGATGCTACCTCGTTGTAGAAACCATGAACCCAAAGGCTCCACGTACCTTTATAGTAGATACTGAAGCCTTACAGGTCCTTATATAGGTACTTTAGGGCACAAATATATGGCACAAATATATGGTATATGTACCTCAGGGTATCTTATGACAATGAAAACAAGACATGTCAGGCGAAGACTCCGTCACTGGCTTCTCTCACGCTTCTAGATACGATCTGAAAGATCTATAAGCCATGAAGCCAGTATCTTGTATCCCCTTCCAGTCCCCGGATGGCTATATGGCTTGGGGTTTAGGGTTTCTGTTTTTGGGCTTGGGGTTCCTGGCTTTTGTGTAGACCAGGTGTAAAAGGGCTTGGGGTTTCGGGTTTAGGGAGGGCTGGTACCATGACCATACAACCCTCAGCCCATGCCTCCCACAAACTCGTATACTACACCAGCCTAATTAATATATTGGACCCCACCCATACACGCTAAACGTGTAAACGCCGCTCTTCGCTAATTGGCCATTGCTTCTTTCGTCGTACTTGACAGGCCTCGCCTGACCTGCCCCGGTTGTGGGTGCTGAAACCGTACTTGAAGGTTCGTGGGACTTAGTAACTAGAGCTATGAAATACGGTTACCATCCTTACAATTACTTGTAATTAACCCCGTTATGACCTTACTTGGGGGCTATACTTGCCATGGACGCTTTTGCATAGAGTCGGATCCCTTGTTTTTTCTCCGTAAGGCTCCATGTGCCCATTACAGAGACCTTAAAGTACCCATGTAGGTACTACCTGTGTACACCACATCGGTATAACTCTAAACCCTAAGTCCTAAATCCTAAACCGACGGTATAACCCTAAACTCTAAACCCTTAAACCCTAAACCCTAAACCCCTAAACTCTAAAACCCCTAAAAGGCCCTTAGGGCCTCCGGAGAGTTCCTTTCCGCTCATAGGCTTGGCGCGCTGCAATCTGCCAAGCAGAAGAATCCATGAGGGTCCATGTATTCACAAAGTATATTAGTTTATCCTTTAAAAGTTCTTTTCCGGGATCTACAGAGGTATCATACGGGTTTAGGTTTGAAGTGTCCATGAATTCATCCAGCGTATAAGTTTGCCTCAGAGTAATCCTCGTTTAGGTATTTTAGGCCGTGCTTGTAGAGGTTTTTTTGTACGGCAGCACATGTTCCCTTAAAGATGGGGAGTCATCGGGCCGAAGGCACTGCTACTACCGGGTTTATCACCACTTTTTGCTGGAGTCGCAGGATCAAGAGATCGTAATCGGAGCCAAGTATCAGGGTGGATATTTAAGCATCGGGCGCCCCTGGTTTGAGGGGCGCCACGGGCAACAACAGTCTTTTTATAGGTACACGTATGATATTCCATGCTTGCATGTCTATGTATATGTATATGGTTTCTGTTTGTGTGTATATAGTATGAACTCAACGCAAGGTAGTGCAATGTAATGTGATGCAAGGCAATGTAATGTAGTGTACTGTGATGTTATGTAACATACACACAGTCTGCATGTGTGCACGCCTCTGAATATGTAAGTAAACAAACAAATGCATGGATGCATCCATGCATACAGACATACAGACATACACACATGCAGACATGGAGACATACATTCATCCATACATACATACGTACATACACACACATGCATGCATCTAAACCCCATGAGTATCCTTTGGAAGCCTCAGGTGTACACTGCAACCATCGACTCTTTTGGCACTGCCAGCTTGTGGGAGAACGCATTGGATGTATTGGATATGATGCGCCCTCAAGGACGTATTTTGTGGTTCAGTGAGGGTTTACGAACTGTTTAGGGTTGCGGGTGGCTTAGTGAGGGTTTATGGATCGTTCAGGCTTGAGGGGCGTCTGGCGTGATGCACTCGGCGGTAGTTTGTGGCCTCTTTATTTGAGAACCCTTCGCATCGTCAATCCTTGGTCTCAGGATCTCCACAGTGATACATTGCAGCATGTTGTGCGGCCTCGCTATACCTACTACTAATAGTATCCCCGCTAAAGTTGCCAACGCCCCCGTATCTAGTAGATAATTATGTAGAAGGCTACGTAATCACCCATATTGTTCCTTACAGTTCATTGGTAATTGTAACTGTGCCATGATTTTCCCCCCTCAGGCCTTGTTTGGATTGCTATAAGGCCGCCATATTGCATGATTACGTGGACCCTGTAGGGAAGTCCGTATTTTGCAACTTCAAAGCCCGTCGGACCAAACTTCCCGATGCCTCGGCTCTGCATGCCCAGAGCACAGACCTACTTACCGTTGGTTAGTAGGGGATAGGGCTCCTTTAAACGGACTATAGGGGTTTAGGGTTCCTTTAAAGGGATCCTTACCTTTGGTTAGTAGGGAATGGAAGAATGGTAGTGATAGTAGTTATAATGGTGCCCCATTCCTCCATTCCCTACTATCCAAAGGTAAGCCTAAAGGCAGAGTACAACATCGTAGGCTGTGATGTTGACTCTTTTCTCTTATGTGGGTACGGTAGAACGATAAAGCCCAGAAGGTAGTAAGCACTTGACTCGCCAGGTCGACCCTTCAGAGATCAGAACTTCAGGGATTCAGATTCACACAGCCTATGCTTAGATAGCAACTTAAAAGCTTTTGGTCCTACATATTTTGCCTATCTTTAAAAGATTGAAGGTGTCTGGGCACGGTTATTGAAGCAGAGAGCATACACTACCACAGAAGCCGTAGACTAGCTAAACCCTTGACCTCAAACCTCGAAGCCCGACAGTCTGGTAGGAGTTTGCCCCAATGCCTTCAGCTACAACGTGGCCCTCTCTGCTTGTCAGCGAGCCTTGTAACCTCACCTGCATGAGGTCGCCTTGCAGACCTTAGATTTGTACGTTTTGTACAGAGGTTGTTGTGTGCTGCTAAGTTTTTAAGTGATCAGAAAGGTTTGAAGAGGGGTCAGGGTTACAGAATGTTGAGGGGCTTCTGTACGGTGGTGAGTTTGGGGAGTTTTTTGAGGGGTTTCCCTAAACCCGGAAGCCTACACTGCACAAAAGCCCTACCACAACCTTCATTTGTGTAATACTGGGGCCCTAATATTTACCTATGCTATCTTGGGGGTTCCTTATGATATTGATAGTATAGTGGGCCCCAAACCCTATTCTCATTACAAAGACCCCTATATTACAGCATTCAAGAGGGTCCTGTTAGTGTCTTGACGTTTCTTTGGTAGGCTTTGCCAGGTGCCACAAACAGTCCCCTAAGGGTCCATGTACTCATATAGCAGTAATATAGCATATACACTGGCCTTAATGTAGTCCCTATATAGGTACTTCGGGGCTCATGTATCTCTATATGGGTACATGGACCCTTAGGGGTCTCCAAAGGGTCTATGGAGTTTGAGGAATAGAGTGTAGGGGCATGGCGTACAGGAGTGTCGGATTTGAGGCCAGAAGGTACTTAGCTGCTTTGTTTCGGAGTGGTTTAGGGTTTAGGGTTTCGGGATTGCGATTCCGGACCTGGGCGGTGCTAGTAGGTTTTGAGTTTCAGGGGGGTCGAGGATACATGCCGCGTTGTGGTTTCATTCGGAGTTCAGGCTTCGAGACATTGCCGGTTCGGGCGGGTTCGCTGAGAGATGTGTGCAATGGGAAACTCGGGGGCCGAGAAAGGCAGGAATGGAGACCTTAGCACGAAGCACCACTATGCCAGGCTGCCTTCTTAGCATTGGGGTTCTGACAGCCCTGAACCCCTAGCCATAGTCACTGTGAAGCCCTACGTTACTTGCTTGAGAAGAAGAAGACGGTTCAGGGCTTGAAATTTCGGTGGTTTGAGGATTAATTTCCGTTTGTGGCTGAGCAACTGTATGGTTATCGTGGTTGGGGTGGGATTCACAAGTATGAGTTGATGCTGATCAGCCAACTCGTAGCGGTCGCAGCGCCATGTAGTTCCCCTGGCATCTCCCCATCAACCCTGCAACCTGTTGGGGGGGGGAAACACCATGTTCCCAGCTTGTGTTTTGTGTTGGTTGCCGCTGCGCCCCGTATTGAAGCCTGCGAGATTGCGTGACCCTGAACCTTGAACCCCTCTATGTAGTTGCTGTTGCCGACCAAGAACCTCGTTTGGGTGCGTCCGAGTTGCGAGAGCGTTAACCTTGAACCCACCCTATACTACAAACCCCAAACCCTAAACCCTAAACAGTGCAACTTAGCATCCCCCCTCTCCGATACGTTCCGTGCATGTTGACCCCAAGCCGGAATCCCTAAGCCTTAAACTCTAAACCCTGTACCCCTAAACCCTAAACTCTACACCTTAAAAACCTATAGGGGACTCCATGAGAACTTGGAAACTCGAGAGTGCCACGTGTTGGAACCCTTTTGGGTTTAGGGGTTTTGGGTTTGGATTTAGGAGTTTAGGGTTGAGGGGTGTAGGGTTGAGGGTTGAGGGTTCGAGTCCATAAACGGACGCTACATAGCAGCTGACACCCGAAGTCTTTCACAGCAAGGCAGTGGGAAGAGGCCTTGCAGCTCTTTCGTTCGATGAAGCGGGACAGCCTGCACTTGCGAAACTGTCATCACTATGGTGAGCTAAGTGGGTAATACTACTCCTCAGGGTTCCTTTAGAGGGAAGATGTCAGAAATTGAAACATCATAATCCTCATGCCCGAAACGTGCCAAGTACATGTTCCAACTTTCTGGGTTCCAGTTCCATTATAGAAGTAGGTTATGACCAGTCAAGCTCTGCGTTTATGACTGTTGATCCGAGATCTGTTCCCCTCGTGTTTCGCACTGGCGGCTCACTAGCGGTCCAGATGGGAGAAGCGGGTTGGCACCACGAGAAGTAATTAGTAGTAACCCCTTGTAGCCCTTACAAGAACACACTAGAGCACACACCAGGGCATTATGCAAAGTACCAGTAGTGGGTTGCGTAACCTTTGACTTTCCGAGAGGACGCTGTAAGCCCTTCATAGCTGCAGAGGATACCTTTATAATCCCCCCAGGAACTTTGACAAGTAAGACGTGGGAAGACTATGCCCCAAATTATTGCCTAAAGCCTTACGTCAGCCCACGCACAGGAGGTAGTTGCCCCCAGAGACTCCGACATCCCTTAACTTAACTAAGGAATATGTCTTAGATCATACTACGGATCCTGCTATAGTTTAATGTATATTCTTTAACTTAGATCCCCAATACCCGACCTTTGAACTTTTTGGCTTCTGGAGTCCCTAAACCTTGCACCCTATACATCCCTCATCCGTTTAAGAACCCTTAAGGCCTTAAAGGAACCCTCACTTAGAGGTTCATGGGACTGAGTAACTAGTGTTATAACTAAGGCAACTATACTTGTAATTGGTTATAACCCCAGTTCAGGTACTTATAACTGTGCTTACTAAGTCCCATGAACCTGCAAGTAAGGATCCCTAGGGACATAAGTCGCACTTCCGCAAGCGCCAAAGTTTCGAAGACCTATTGTTTTGGCCTTAAAAGGATTCTATAAGGGGTATGGGATCTATAGGGAGTAGGGTTTGGGATAGGGGCCTTTAAAGGGATCCTTAAGGGTTCCTTTAAGGGGTCTATAAGGGATCTACAGGCTTTAGGGTTTAGGATAGGGGGCCTCAATATTCTTTAGGGTTCCTTCTCATATTTATAGTATAATGGGCCCCAACACTCTATTCTATTCATCAAGGCCCCTAAAGCATCAAGCTGCACATCCCCGTCAGATCTCCCACTCCGCTGATTGGTCGGTTTATTTCGTCTTGAGGTGCCTTCCCTTTGGGCATCCTTTCTTTACCCTGCCACACTGGGACGTATTCCTTACGAGTACTGGAGATAAGATACTGGAAGATCTGATGAAGGCCCCTATAGTACTCCAAAATATTCCTCGGAGCCGCGCGCTGACTTGAAGACGTGAGACTCGTGTTCAAGCCCACACCTCTTCTATCGAAACTGTTCAAGAGGGGCCTAAATAGAAATACCTAAACTATTGTGGGGGTTCCTTTTTATATTTATAGTAATTATAGTATAATGTTTGAAATCTCAAACGCTCCATGTACCTTTATAGCAGATACTTAAGCATTAAAGGGGTCCCTACTAGATAGTACTTCCACGCCTAAGTATGTACTTTATGGGCACATGGAGCCTGAGAGTGAAGTATCCAAACTGTAGGCGTAAAGAGGGCGTCTTTTTGCAGGAACGACTATCACGCACTTGTAGTCTGATGTTTATCAGGGTCACATCTTCGACTTGGATCCAGCTGAGCGATGTATCTCCGGGGGACCCCCATCTTCCTGAACTCTATAATCCACCCCTAAACAACCGAAAACCAGCAAAGTGAAAAGGCTAGTGGCCCTTTGCAGAGCCCTTGACAACCCTAAACCCCGAAAGCCCCATACTCCTTGTTTGTGAATATAGTTAAGAATATCAAGGATACTACTATAATGTAGAGAATTATTCCTGAATTAAGGGGTATGGGGCAATGTGGGGCTCTCTGGGAACGGTACTTGGAACTACAGTTATAAGTACCTTAACTGGGGTTATAACTAGTTACAAGTATATAGTCACCTTAGTTATAACTAGTTATAACCGTAGTTACTAAGTCCCATGAACCTCAAAGCACCCGCTTGAACTATCGAAACTCTGCAACAGGGACCTGAATTTATATATAATTACCTATACTATTGTGGGAACGGTAGCTCCGGAGGACAAGGTCAACCCGAGCACCATGGACTACGACATGATCCTGAGCGCTTGCGCCCGTTCATCCGAGCTACTCAGCTGGCGTTTCGGTTTCCAGAGCTTTCTAGGGTTTAGAATGTAGGGGTTTAGGGTTTAGGATTCCGGGTGTTCTTGGAGGTTCATGGGACGTAGCATGCTTGCTAAGTCCTATGAACCTCCGAGTAGGCGTCTTGGGTTCAAGGTTTTGGGTTGAGGGCTGGGCTCCCCAAGGGTCCATGTAGCCATATAGTATATACTTTGGATTCATTAAAGTAGTCCCTATTGAGGTACATTAGGGCCGAAGTATACACTAATGGGTACATGGACCCTTCGTGTCAATTTGGGAGTGTCCGAAAATTGGGGGTACCTTATTCAGGGGTCCCTATAATAAGGATCCTACTATTCAGGGTACTATATTAGGGTCCCCTATTTGGGGGAAACTCTCATTTGAAGGCATTCTGCGGGTAAACGCCTCATCCTCAAGGGAACCCAGCTCAAGGTGTGGGAGAAATGCTCTCTAAACCTAGGACCCAGAGTAGGCCCTTATCCCCTTTTTTTAGGGTTTAGGTTCCCTTATGACCTAATTTAAACCAAAAAGGGTACCCTTTTTATGCCTAGGTTACCCTTAGGTCTAGAAACCCTCAACCCGTGTTTAGGGTATTTCCTGTTCTTCAGGTAGCATAGGTTTAGGGGCTTAGCAGCACTGCTGCCCCGAGTATCTCCTGCTGCATACTGTTGGCTGTCTTTTCGGTATTTAATTATGTCTGCGAGCATTGTGTTTTTCTGAGTGTTGATTTCCTGCCATGGTGTTGCCAGCATCGTAGTATCATGACAGCTGTTGGGCGACGGTCCATAGGTTCAGGGTCCATGTTTGTTCTGCATCCATGCTTCATTTTTGAACCCTAAACCCTAAACCCTAAACCGTGTTTTCCTAGTCCGAATTGTCGGTTGGTTGGCTCACTCTGACCTCCTTCGACACTTACCTTTGGTTAGTCCTTAAAGGGATCTATAGGGCTCCTTAAAGGGATCTATAGGGTTCCTTAAAGGGATCTATGGGGTTTAGGGTTTTCTTACCTTTGGTTGGTAGGGAATGGAAGAATGGTAGTAACAGTAGTTACAAATGTACCCAATTCCTCCATTCCCTGCTTGGAGGTTCATGGGACTTAGTAACTACACTTATAAGTACCTTAACTGGGGTTATAACTAGTCAATAAGTATAGTTACCTTAATTATAACCGTAGTTACTAAGTCCCATGGACCTCTAAGTACTAACCAAAGGTAAGAACACGAAACACCCAATCTAGAACTCGCCGCGCTTGAACGAAGCGCCCCCTTTTCTCAGGAAAGAGACGACTGAAGTCCTCTTCAGCGAGATGAGCCCTGGCTTCAAGCCCTTAAAGCTCACCCATATCTTGGCGTTCTTCTGGTTGGCTCTTTGGACTTTAACTTCTTGGGTTTCTATATGAACTATTATAAGGAAGCTAAACGTTTAACTTTTAAGGGGGGGGTTCAGAAGACGGCCAAGATATGTCGTGTATCCTAAACGTCCGAAGCTGTCCTGAACCCCAATCCGCAGGCCCCTACACCCTAAGCCTTAAACCCTAAACCCTAAACCTTAAGGTCTTGGTTTAGGGTTGGGGGTTTAGGGTTCAGGGTTTAGGGTTTAGGGTTTGGGGCTAGTGTTCGCAATGATCAGTACCTGGTTTCTCATTTGGGGCTACCTATAGTCTCCATTGTAGTTCCTCTGGACGTAAAACGTTGTATGCAGGTAAAGCAATGTTGGGGGAAGGGAAGAGCTTGCTGAGACTGCCATCTGAGAGTGCAGGTGAAAACATGAACACACGAAAAGCACGCCACCAGGGCGTGATGTTCTGTTCCTTTTTTGGGTTACCTTACAGGATCCTTACTATACAATTGGTTAAACCAAAAAAAGGAACTACAACGGAGACTATAGCTAGTTTTCGCAATGATCAGTAAAAGCAATCCTGATAATGATAGTATAACATATCCCATTATTCCGGACATCAGGTTCCTACTATACCCCGTATATTAATCCTGGTATAGAACCCTTTAAAGGAATCCTCACACGGGACCTTGTTCGATCTCTTCCGAAGGCTCCATGCACCCATAAATCATATAGTATATACTTAGGCTTAAAGTGCCCATGTAGGCACCCCTTAAGGCCTAAGTATCACTATAAAGCTACATGGAGCCTTTGCGTCTAGAGGGGGAGGGGGAGTAGGTGGCCTTAATGCCCACAGTAAGGGCCTAATAAGGCCTATTTAAGGAAGTGTAGTCCCCTACCCCCCTCCCCCTTACCCCCCTAAGGGTCCCTATGATATCCTAGATCCTTAACCCTAAACCGTTTCTATATCTAGACAGCCGAGCAGCGCAGGAACCGGAAAGGGATCTTGCCCAGCGAGGCCTGGACTAGCAAGCTCCTCATAGGATTGGTTTAGGGTATAGGACTTAGGGTTTAGGCTTCAGGGTTTAGGGTTTAGGCTTCTTTGAGGGTTTTATGCAGGGTTCAATAAGGGTTCGGGAGGAATTTGATGTTTCAGGGTTTTGGTTTTCGGTTTAGGGCTTTAGGTTTGGTGCTCGGATTTTGGAGTGTTTCGGCGGAGTCTGGGTTTAACTTTCGTCTCGGGGTTTCAGTGGCAATGGCCTGATGCTGAAATTGCCTTACTTTGCAATTGGCGGGTTTGTAGGGTGTTTCTAGGTTACCGAAGGCTAGAGATGTGAGCTTCTCTGTTACGACTTTGAGATGGTCTCCACTCTGATCCCAGGCCCGCAAAATCCCTCACACACGGTCGCGGCCGCACCCGTCCGCGATCGGTGTGGGCTTTGTTGTTCATTTCTGTGGTTCAGTCAAAGGGAAACGCCTGGGCCCCACCCACAAACCCCTATTGTAGGAAGCTGATTAAGAAACCCTGGTCCTTATTAGGGTTCCGTATATTAATGTGAATCCTTATATATATATATATATATATATATATATATATATTGACTGGGGGTTATAGGGCCACGGTTTCTTAATCAGTTTCCTTCATTACACCGTAAGCCAACGCATTACATGATGACACCTTAAGCGAAGTGGTCTATCCTGTGAAGCAGCAGGTTTAAGGGATCCCCAGGAAGCTCGCTCAAAAACCTTAACCTCTTCTAGAACACTTCTAGGAACCCTTAAAGGGACCTTTTGCCAATCTCCTAAGGTAGCCCTTACAGAACCCTTACAAAGGAATCCTTATTGAACCCTGCAGAACCCCCTAAAGGAACCCATAGGAAACCTTCACAGAACCCCGAAACGAACTGTTATCCTAGGGCTCCGCGTATTTATAAATAGTAGCCACTTTGGGTTCTACAGCCTATAACCTATAGATGTTACCTACTTTGGGCTATTTGAAGCCCCAGGCTTACTTGAAGGATCATGGGACTTAGTAACTATAGGGTTATAACAAGGTAACCATACTTATAATTACTTACATCCCCAGTTAATGTACTTATAACTAACCTTCCTTAAGTCCCATGATCCTCCAAGTAAGCAATTCATAAAGTCTCGGTGAGATGCATTACCTAGTAGCTGAGTGGATACACTTTACACTTTTGGGGATAATATTACCCACTATAAGACTAAAAGTGTATATACACTTTTGGGGGGCTTATGAACTCAGCAACTAAGATTAAGTCCCGGTCGAACTTTGACAGCCCCTGCTGACCGACTTTTTGCTCGCCTGGCCTTATGAGTTCAAGGATTTAGGGATTTAAGGGTCTAGAGTTTGGGGCTTAGGGTGAAAAGATTGGCTATATCTTGCTTCACAGGTCCGCATAAGGATCTGATGATGTGGAATTCTATAGTTGGTGCCCCTACTTGTTGAAACTCCGGGACAGCGAGGGAGGTAGCTGTGAGACTTTGGCATCGTGCGTAGCCATATCAGTAATTCGTTAACATGACCACGACGGGTACAAAACGGACCCGTCAAACTTTAAGCTCGGATTCCGTCGCAGAGAGCGACATGTCGATTACTGTGGAAGTTGGGCTTCTCAGTGGCAAGACAGCTGCCGTGGAAGCTCATGTCGATGAGGATGTTGAAACATTCAAAGGTCGGGCACAGACCGCACTCGGAGTCGGAAATGGGCGGCTGGTGGACTCGTTTGGGAGCGTTCTGGATGCATCTGCTCCAATCATCCATTCCGTCTTGCAGAAGGGCCACTCGTTGACGCTGCAAATAAGCCCAGTTCGGGTGTGCGGTGCTGCCCGGGCTTTCGCTGCCATTCTGGGCGACGGATCTGTCACGACCTGGGGTGCTGGCGATATTAGTGACACCAGCGCTGTGCAGGATCAGCTGAAGAATGTGCAGCGGATCCAAGCCTCTAACTACGCTTTGGCTGCGATTCTTGCCGATGGCTCCGTCGTGACGTGGGGCGGTCCTCGCTTTGGTGGTGACAGCAGCACTGTGCAGGATCAGCTGAAGAATGTGCAGCAGGTACAAGCCAATTACAGCGCTTTTGCTGCCATTCTTGGTGACGGATCCGTCGTGACGTGGGGTGGTGCTCGCTTTGGTGGTGACAGTAGGGCTGTGCAGGACCAGTTGAAGAATGTGCAGCAGATCCAAGCCAGTCACTATGGTTTTGCTGCCATTCTTGGTGATGGATCCGTCGTGACCTGGGGTAGTGCGGGCCGTGCGGGTGACAGTACAGCTGTGCAGGATCAGCTGAAGAATGTTCAGAAGATCCAAGCCTCCAGCAGTGCCTTTGCTGCAATTCTTGGCGATGGATCGGTCGTGACCTGGGGTAGTGCTAACCATGGTGGTGACAGTGACACTGTGCAGGATCAGCTGAAGAACGTGCAGCATATCCAGGCTTCCAGCGGCGCTTTCGCTGCCATTCTTGGCGATGGATCTGTCGTTACCTGGGGAGATGCAGCCGAGGGCGGTGACGGCAGTGCCATACAGGGTCAGCTAAAGAATGTGCAGCAGATCCAAGCCTCTGGCTTTGCTTTTGCTGCCATTGTTGCCGATGGATCCGTCGTGACTTGGGGTGAGGCTGACTGTGGTGGTGACAGCCGTGCTGTGCAGGACCAGCTGAAGAATGTGCAGCAGATCCAAGCAACTCATCATGCTTTTGCTGCTATTGTTGGTGATGGATCGGTCGTGACCTGGGGTGATGCAGACTGTGGTGGTGCCAGTAGTGATGAGCAGGACCAGCTGAGGCATGTTCAGAAGATTCAAGCCTCTCACGGCGCCTTTGCTGCCATTCTGGGTGATGGATCGGTCGTAACCTGGGGGCATGCTGACTGTGGTGGTGACAGTAGTCCTGTGCGAGATCAGCTCAAGAACGTGCATCATATCCAAGCTTCCAACAGTGCCTTCGCGGCTGTTCGTGGCGATGGATCGGTCGTGACTTGGGGTAGTGCTGATCACGGAGGTAACAGTGCAAAATGTTTAGGGAAGCAGCCGGTGTTATGATAGATCTTGCAGATGGCATGGGGCGCTCGTTGGCAGCACAATTGTGCATACTTCTGCGTCCTCGTTTTCATCCCTGAAGAGTTCGGGGCTATGGTGAGACTCCCTTCCACCTGAGTTTTGCGATTTCTTGGGCAGCGCACCTTGCAGCTCTGCAACTCCTTGTGCGGATCCTCAAAAATGTGACTTCCAGTCCCTTTGCGATGGATTTGGTCTGGACCTACTCCTGTCCTTACGCGGACTTCAGACGTAAAGTTTAGCTGTTAAAGTGTTTTTTTGGTGGTGTACCGGAATGCACGAAAGTGCAGAGCTCCAATGCCAAAGAACGTCTTTGGGTGGACAAGTGCTCTTTCGTGCTGAGGCGAGGGCAGGCAAGTTTCTTGAGTCCGGTACGTCCCTAGACCTGAGTGTAGAGGTCTGTCTGAATAGCAGTACTTCGTAGTAAGCTTATAGTAATGTAGTAGCTTTCCATAGCACAAGTATACTATGTTGTAGTATACTGGAGTAGCCCTCGTCCAAAACTTGTTCAAAGTCTTAAGGCCCTCTGTTAAGCAGCCCTGCGCACATGTATGGGCATTAACCGTGCTTTTGGTTGCGAGACCCTGGCTTCGAGGTATGTGGCTTCGTGCTATGAATCAATTCGGGAAACGTTCAACAGGTATAGGGTTTGGGGTTGAGGGTATAGCGGTTTGAGGAATCTGTATCTGTAGCAATGTTCCCTTATTGTCTGCATGGAGTTTTACTAAAACCCATCTGCCCCATTTCAAACCTTGTTCCACCCCCCCTCCGTCTCCGGAGCCGCATAGCTAGGGGATATTAATACCTTAGCCGAAAAGACCTACCTTTTTAGGGTTCCTTATTATGGTTTCTATATATAGTTCCTTAAAAAGGTAGGTCTTTTCGGCCACAGGTAGACCTTGAGCCAAAAGTCAGCATTCTTCAATAATTTGAAGTTTATTTCTGTTCAGGCCCCGAAGGAGACCCTGTGAAGAGTTGACACCCTGTAAGCGCACAATGACAACCTCGCTGCCATAGCGGTTTTGGGAATTCTAGCTATCGCTGACGTCTCTCAGCTGCCTTTCCCTGCCACGTTCATGTTTCTGAAGGGTTTAGGGTGTGCATGGGATCTATTTTGGAAAGGGTCAACGGTGTAGGGTTTATTTAGAAAATGAAAACCTGCATATAGAACCCTAATGATAAGATCCTCGATACGACACTGGGCCCGACATAATTGAAACCTTAATGTAGTAACGACTAGAAACACCCAAACTTCGGCTCAAAGCATACAAGGGCCCTGAACTAAAGGCTTAGAGTTCAGGGTTTAGGGTATAGGTTAGAGTTTAGGGGTAAGGTTTTAGGTGCGGATTGAACCATAAGCCCTGAAACCGCTAAACCTTAAGCCCCTTAACCCGGATTTAGGGTCCAGGGCGTCCAGGGCCGGGCGTCGGGCCTTCAGAGCCCGAGAAGACGTTTGGGCGATTTGAAGCAAAGTCGAAGATTCACTTGGCCTAAGGGTCCATATACTCCTTTAATTAGCAGGTATTTCGGCCCTGAAGTAGCTATACAGGGACTACCCTGAGGAAATCAGTATATGCTATCCGTACATGAACCCTTTCGGTTCTGGTTTAGGATAGGAAGAAAGAATCCTGGTCTGATTTTTTCCTAAGTGCCACTCTCACCTCCAACAGTCAACCCTAAACCCTAAACCCTAAGCCTGAAGTCCAAGTCAGACTGAACCCGACTTGCACAGGAAAGCAGCACCAAACCCCTACTAAACATCTCGTGGGAGGCTCTAAGAGTCGAAATTCTATGTGGCTGGGAGTTTCCGACAATACGAGACCCTAACATAGTACCCTAAATAGCAGGATCCTTATTATAAGGAGCCCGAAGTAAGGTACCCCCAATTTTCGGAAACTCCCATGTAGCCCCCACCTTCGTAGTAGAGTAAGTAACCTTTCAACCCCTCTGTTGGGGTACCACCATCTCTACATAATCTCGAAGGCAGCCCTTAGTTCCCAAGGCTACTGGACAAGTAAGCCAATCCAAAAATACATGTTTTTGGCAGGTTACTTTCAACTGCCTGGCTTCATTGCTCAGCACGCCCGCAGAAAGAGCGTCTCGATGAACGTTCAATTGTTCACGGGGTTGTCAGATGTTTCTTTTGGTTTGCAACCCCTGAACCCTGAAAAAGCCCAAGCACGAAACGCCCTTAACAAGGGATTCCAGAGTTTGTGAGACTCTCCTGAGCAATGGGTCTCTGGCCAGAACTGTTTCCACCGAAATCCCAAACCCTGAAACCCCACAGTCCAAACTAAAGAATGGAAGGCATGGGCACACATAGATAAACAAGTCAACCCTTTGTTATGTACCTGTCTGCATAAGCATTTGCACATACATTCATCTACACATTTAATTATTCTCTCTCTCTCTCTCTCTCTCTCTCTCTATATATATATATATAGCAGAATGCACTACATTATTATATAGTGGAAAATTGTATACTGTGGTTCGATATAATATCTCGCAATATGATATAAAATGGCACAACAAAAGACGGCATGACACAGTGTATTACTGTAGTACACATGCAAAATACATGATGGGATAAGGCTTTTTGATGTGAAGCTCTGTTCATTATAACACATTGTTAAGATAAAACAATGTTTACTATAGCACGATGCATTTTTTAGAATGATGTTCAATGTGATAACACGTTTACTATAAATGAGTGTTTAATGTTATTTATTTTCCCATATAACATTTTGCATAATAGCCTGGTTCAACACAACTGAATGTAGTAAACTCTAGTTTTGTAAATCTCGAATTTCATGTTATTCTTTGCTTTGTGCTGATCTATGTTACATGTTAAGTCAAAGATTGTTCTATCACAGTACAATCGAGTTTGTTATAGTATATCATTTCTTATACAGGTGTATTACAGTTTAATACTCAGAAACTCTCTAGATGTGTATGTGTGTGTGTGTGTTTGCGCGTGTGTGTGTTTTAGAGCTTGCCGCGCTACTTCTTACTAAACTGGCATTACGTACAGTTCCTGTCTGCGCAATAGCTAATGTAGAGGACTGGATAGTCACTACGAATATTCCTAAACTAGTCACTGGATAAACATGCAATAATAAGCCCCATAATGACTTTAAGGCCCGGAAACACATAAATCTTGACAGAGACTTTTTAATTACCCTGATCCACAATCCCTAGAGAACACTCTTTAGACTGCAACGCCCCTTTTATAACGACCCTGTATTGGGCACTTTTTTCTCATCCCTGAGGCGTCTTTCATCTCCAAGCTGCGCAGCTCGAAGATGAAACCCGATGTGAGATGCTGTGGCTGAATCCCTAAGGGTCCATGTACTCATATAGCATATACATTGGCCTTAATGTAGTCCCTATATAGGTACTTTGGGGCTCATGTATCTCTATATGGGTACATGGACCCTTAGGGAATTTTGATTATTCTGGGCGTATGGGCCCTTGTACTAATCCTAGATGACGAGTTTAGGGGCCCTTTAACCCCCCGAACCCAACGAGGTTTCGAGCAGTTGTGAGGCTGACATGGGGCAGTTTGTTGTATAAGGATCCTATAGTGGTCATAAAAGTTGTATACAGGCTTGTCTAAGCGCATGGGTTTAGGCTTTAGGATGAAGGATGCGAGGTCTCCGGGAAGGCTTCGGGTAGTGTACGGTGTGGCCACCACCCTCAAGGGTTTAGGGTTTCGGAGGCGAGACGCCGTGGCCGAATGCGTAGCGTGTACGGTTCTGCTGTGTTTCATACGGGCTTCGTAAGGCTTTTATATGAGTAGCTGCCCCTGCGACTGCAACTGCTGCTGCTACTGCTACTCCTCCGCCTGCTCCTACTCCTTCCCTATTATTGCTACTGCTCCGGCTGCTGCTGCTGCTGCTGCTACTGCTACAGCAGCCTCACTCCGTAAACCCTATCTGGACCCTACGAAACCTTTCGTTTCAGGGTTCCCTACTATGATATCCTCATGCAAATCTTGAAAAAGGTAGGTTATTTGATATTTGGGGTTAAGGTAGCCCCCTAAACCCTAAACCCTCAACCCTAAACCCTAAACCCTAAGCCCCCTAAACCCTAAACCCATGGGCCTCACCCGCTGGGCAAGGAACCTACAACCCGATGATCAGCGCTTGCGCCGAGACTGGGGGCTGGCAGGATGCCGTGATGGTGCTGGAGGACAGCGGTTTAGGGTTTAGGGTACAGCCTTAGGGGTTTAGGGTCGGAGTCGCAGCAGGCCAGTTGCAAAGGGGTTTAGCGCTTTAGGGCTAAGGGTTTAGGGTGGTTAACATGTGTTTTGCAGCCACTTTTCGGGGTTCAGGGGGGTCTATAGGTTTGAGCTGGGGCTTAGGGTTTCACGCTTAAGGCTCTAGCGGTTAACGTTCATGGAGGGCATATTAGGGATCTACGGTTTCAACTGTGCACTTGACTCCCAGCTTTGATGTCAAAGCATTCGAGTCGAGGAGTGGTAACATAGGGGGCCTTTGTTATACTTTGTTTGGTGGGGTTCCTTTCTATAACTATAGTAAAATGTACCACAAACCCCCGTTCTAATTGTTAAGGCCCCTACATTACAACGAATTCATGTCCGAGCTTTGAGGACATATTCGGCTCAAACAAGCATCCTGCACTCCAACAGGTAATGTCCGAAGCCCGTGTTGCTGATTGCAAGGATCTTCCTGGAAGTTTCTGGTTGTTGTACAAGTTTAGGGCAACCGGGTACGGCTAGAGCTGAAACGTAGACTTGATTCGGACTTTCCGAGTAAGTGGCCGGAACTTCAAATCCTGAGACACCGGCAGACACGAAGTTCTAAACCCTATTTTCGTGTTGATGTGGGGCATGCAAGCCGTCCATACGAGGAAATGCGAGCCGCCCATGTGCCCCCTGACCTGCAGAGCCACAACCGCTTCCTGAGTGTTTGCGTGCCTTGGCTTCACAGAGCGTGTTCTAAGGTTCGGCATTACGCGGTTGAGGGTTAAGAGCTTTGGATATGGGAGTTTCCGGAAATTAGGGGTTCCTTATTTGGGGGCCCTTATAATAAGGATCCTACTATTTGGGGTACTATATTAGGGTCGCCTATTTTGAGAAACTCCCATACAGAGCTAGGAGACAAAGCCAGAGGCAGGATCGATCGAGCGTGCTGTTAGGGGCCATAAAAACATCTATGTACATTCACCCTAAACCCTAAAACCTTAAACCCTAAACAGGCGGAGACTCCTGCAGGAATATTGCCTTACACATGCATTGTTTGGTCGACTACACGGCCTGTTTTCGGCTTCCAGCAGTCGTACGTACGCATCCTTCTGGTCTCAAACTCTGGTATAGTGGGGCCTGAGTGTCGGGGAATGTTATCCCCTGATAATATACTTTCCAAAAAAATTAGCCCACCCAATACACGGGTTTAGTCTTCATCAAATCCCTGTTCAAAATAGTTGAGGTCCCCTACAATTTTCCTCCAGCCTGCCCTGAAGCCGGCACAGAATGAACAAAAAATAAATAAGCCCTGCACCCGAACCCCAAGGCCTGAATTCTGAACCATGTGCCCGTTCTTGGGGAACCAAGGGAGGGTTCATACAACATCCTACCCAGACCATACTAACCCAAAACATTAAACCCCGGGACCATAAAGCTCCGCCAAAAGCCCACCAAAAAAGTCACATAGCCGATGACACAGATAAAGCCTCGTAGAGTCCTACAGAAGTTTAGGGATACCCAATACCAAATCCCTGTGTTTAGGGCTTGTCTTAGGGTCTCTAGGCTCTATGACTATGTATGATGTAGATTAGGATTAGGAGTTGCAGGGCTCATAGTGTTTCAAAGAGCTTAGGACCTAGTTTTTGGGGTGCGTCGGCTGACGATCAAAGTGACCAGATGGTGCTGGCTTGAGTAGCTGGCTTTCCTTGTTAGTTTGTGTCTTGGGCGTGTTCCTCGTGCTGGTATGAATGTGGAGGAGTGTTGCGATAGCGAACCTATCACCCCCCCATGGAACCCAAACCATGAAGTATGGAGGGGTTCCTTGTAGCATGGTTTGAAGCTTAAAACCCTAAACTCCAAGCGGCATTGCAACCTCATGATAAGGGCCGACAGAGGCAAACCACTATTAAACGGCAAATTGAGCTTAAGGTGTAATTCTCTCAGGCAAAAAAACCTAAACCCTCAAAGCCCTAAACACCAGCAGGGTTTTAGGAAAAGATCAAACATAGGGAACCTTAATATACTGCCCGGCCCTAAATGGAAGGATCCTTATTATCAGGACCCCAAAATGAGGTACCCCTCATTTTCAGAAGCCCCAACCCCTTGTAGAACCCTTTAAAGGACCCGTTATCATACCCTTACAGTACCCCTTTAAAGGAACCCCCCCATAGTACCCTTATTAGTTAACCTTAAATAAACCCCTAAACCCCTAACCCTTTATAGAACCCTTATAGATCCCTTTAAGGAACCCTTAAAGGATCCCTTTACAGGGTACCCCTAATTTTCGGAAGCTCCCAGAAGTCTCAGGCCGCAACTGGCTCCTGGGATTTGGTCCTGCGCGTCTTCCACGACCTGGTCCGAGGAGGCCGCCTTTTTGGGACTGGGGGGGGTGGGCGGGGCGAGGGCTCTTATAAGGGTCCCTTTAAAGGGATCTATAAGGGTCCCTTTAAAGGGATCTATCAGGGTCCCTTTAAAGGGATCGATCAGGGCTCCTTTTGAAGGGATCTATAAGGGTTTAGGGTTTGGGGTTTAGGGTTTTGTGGGGGGGGGGGCGGGGTTTAGGGTGTAGGGTTTAGGGTTTGGGGTTTGGGCTTTAGGGCTTAGGGTTTAGGGTGGGAGGGAGTGGGGGGGTGGAGGGGTGCTACTTGAAGATCATGGGACTTAGTAAGTAAGGTTATACAGTGAATACCTTCAAGTAATGGTTTCGGTCGCATAGGGTTTTCGGGAGGGGAGGGAGCTCGGGATTAGGTATCTGGGTGCAGGGCTCATAGGGTTTAGGGCAACAGGGTTTCGGGTAGTTTTCAGGTATTTCATGGTTCAGGGTAATCAGGGTTCCAAGGGTCTTCAGGGTTTTATGGGCCTGCAGGGTCTGTAGGGGTTAACCGCAAGAGAAAGCCAAAGCCCCTAAACAACTACCAGAAGTCCCTGAGAGCCTGTAACCCACTGACTCAGAACCAGTTAACTTTATATGTATATATATATATATATATATATATATATATATATATATCACAACGCACGGATAAAACACGAGCAAAAGCCCGTACAAACCTTTATAAGCCCTGCAAAACAGGCCAGCCCCCCAGCTCCCCCCCCGGCCTGATCAAAACCGCCAAAAGGACTCAGGACTTCTCAACCCTAAACCCTAATTAATGGGTTACGGGCAGGGTTTTTGGTTCAGCGCTTCGCCGCTTGTGCTTTGGGGCTTGGAGCTCTGAAGCACGCATGTTCAGTAATAGCTATGCGGCTATGCCCTACATCGGGCCTATAAAGTTCCTCTTTATAGTTGTGGTATCGTTATACCCCTACCTGAGCCACAAAGAACCTACTTGTTTCAGGACTTACACAAGGAAGTCATCATTAGGAAGGCAACACTGTTGTCACGGACCCTATGACTATGAGCTTCCGAGGTTTCAAGCCGGATCGCACCAGCGTGAACACTTGTGCCTGGGCGGTTTGGTGTGTTAGGGGCCTTACGGCGTTTAGGGGCTTTATGGGGTGTGGTGGGGATGGGATTAGGTAGGCTTGGGGCAACGGTGGATGGCTTTGAAGGAACACCGAAGGGCTTGCCATGCAGCCTCTGCAGCTCCACCGGAGGATGGTTTTGAGGAAACACCGAAGGGCTGGCTGCGTGGACTCTGTGAAGAACACATAAGACCGTGCTTTCTGATAGCTGATGCAGCACTTATTTCAGCATAGTTTCTGATGACGTTAACCGGCGGATGCCGGCACTGGCTCCACTGTACCTGCCGTGAAGGGCTTCCAGGGTCCAACTTCCGGGCAAAGTCGCAAGGCTGTTGCAAAAAAGGCTTGGGGCTTTGGCTTTGTTCTGACAGCCAGCAAGCCTTCTAAAGAGGCCTGAACGGCCTGTGGAGGGTGGCAGATATGTATGGAAGAGATAGCCTTCTTTGGAGTCCATAAACCCTGGCCATAAAACGATGAGCTCCCAGGAACATAAAATTCATAACGCCTTGCTTACGGAACCCTTGTAGAACTCTTACAGGATTCTATAACCCTAAAGCCTCAAACCCCTAAGCCCAGTTGTGAGTGCTGAAACCGTACCGCCTACCCCCTCAGCCCTCCCAAAGGCTCCATGTATTTTTTCAGAAGATACTTAAGCCTCAAAAGGGGTCCCTATATAGGTACTTTAAATCCTAAGTGTATACTTAGATGGCTACATGGAGCCTTATACCCTAAACCCTGTAGAACCCTTATAGAACCCTTTAAAGACCCCTTAAAGGAACCTATTATGGGTACATTGAGGCATCAGTGCCTGCGCCACGACTGGAGAGTGGCATCAGGCAGCTCCCAGGCTACAGAGAGGGTTTAGGGGCTTTCGGGCTTTGTGGTGTTTTTTGGGGTCAACCTATGTAAAGCTTCAGAGATTTAGGGTCTAGGGCTTCTGAGATTTAGGGTCTAGGGCTTCAGAGATTTAGGGTCTAGGGCTTCAGAGATTTAGGGTCTAGGGTTTCGGAGATTTAGGGTTCAGGGTTCAGTGGTTTCGGGTTAAGGGTTCTGAAAGGGTTTAGGGTTTCGTGTAGGAGTTTGGAATGACAAGACACACATCGTGTTTAGGCTGTATGTATTACCTACATGATTTCATACCATGTCCCCGAAGCAGAAGATTGACTTAGTCTGGCGTCTCAACACGGAGCTTCTCAGAATCACCCCCCTCCCCCCTTCGCCCCAACGCATATCTCGATAGCAGGATTCCCCCAAGCGCCCCCCCACATGCTAAAGCCTCAGAGGCCAGTCCCCCCAGGCCCCCCCAAACTCCTCAAGTCATATGGGTGGATGTCAAAATGAAGGTCCCTTTTTGGGCACCCTAAATAACAGGTGCCGTATTATATTAGGGACCCAAAAAGGGACCCTAATCTTAACAACCACCCATATATCCTGGAAGGCAAAATTCCCTAGGCCCTTGAAGCCGAAAACCTCAGCCCCAGGCCGTGAATCCTAATATAGGGGCCTCAACAATTACCTTTAGTATTTTTGGGGGCTCCTTATTTCCTAAAAGAAATACCGAGGTGCTGCTCCTCCTCGACATGGAGACCCAAGGCAAACATTGACATGCGTTGTTTTTTGAGGGGGTTGGAAATGGAGATGAACGCTGCGTTTGACGTGGATTTTGAGGGTTTAGGAGTTCAGGGTTACGATTTTGCCGGCGTCTGTGAGTCGGTTTTGACTTCAACTCATGCATTTGCTCGGGTTACATTGGCTACATGATGATTACTTCGTAGCTCGTAAGGTAACCTTGAACCTGTTTAGCCTTGCTAGCCCTCGATCTGGACGGGAAACGTAGCGCAGAAGACGAGCTGTTCGAACGGAGAGGGTAGCCTTTGGCCTTTTTAGCTTTTTATGGTACCAAGACTATACGTAATCCCTACGCAATCCCTAAACCCTAATCCCCAAACCCTAAACCGTAATCCCTAAACCCTAAACCCTAAGGTTAACATTTGGGAGCCAGAGTCACTATAGGGGCTGAGTGTCCTCCGCCTTGTTGGGCCCACGGCCCGCGCCGTAAACTCCTCTCCGTAAAGCTTACCCTTAGGCTCTAAGGATTCATATAGGGTTCCTTTAAAGGGATCTATAAGGTTTCCTATAAGGGATCTATAGGGTTTAGGCTCTAAGCACTCAGATTTTAAGGCTTTTGGGCCCAAAGACCATACTATATAAGGCTTCTGGGCTATTTTGTGCCTTAGGGTTAAAGTAAACCGAAAGACCTAAACACTGAAACAACCCCAAGCCCTAAACCGCTAAACCTTATAAAACCTAAACCGAAGCCTCAACCTATGGAGTCTAAGCTTTACAGCCGAATTTGAGATTCTCCAACCTATAGGGCTTAGGTGAGAGAGCCTTGTGCAAAAACAAGTCTGAGTCCAGGGCTTACCAGTATCATGTTCGCAGGAATCATCAATGCATCATCTTACTAAGTGTTCAGACCACAAATCCTACACCAGCCCGAAGCACTATGAATGACATCCACTTCCTCGACTCCTACTTTATGCCAGATCCTAGTTCCTGCTCTGCGAGTGCCCGAAAGCAATAGAACAAAGCCGCCTCCCCTAAGCCCGTATAATGTAGCAACCTGATTAGGAAACCTTGGGCCTTTATTAGGGTTCCTTATATTATATGAACCTTACTAGTTTGGGGGTTGTAGGCCCAGGGTTTCTTAATCAGGTTCCTACTAGATTTTACGTTATCGGTAGTTGCAGTGATCGAATGGCAGGGTCGGCACCCGATGTAGCATGTGGAGACAGCCCGGATGCTTTGGCACGAGCCCGGAGCCAGATTCTCAAGTTCAGTTTGACCCCAGACGAGATGTCCACGGCAGAGCTGGAGGTGCTGACCGGTGTTCCCGAGTGGAACCAAGTGATCCGCGATGGTTCTCGGCGCCAATTTCCCGTGGTGCACGACCCTCTGGAGCATGGGGAGTTGCGGACGAAGTGGTATGGGCGGGGTGCAACTGCTGTTGTGTTGCTGTGCCCAATCGTTCGCTGTGTCGGCTCCTGCGGACTGCCGTAGGCGAAGCAACTTGTGCTCTTTGCATGGGCCGAGGTTTAGCATGGACCCATCGCCTGGTGCCAAGCCACGGTGCCGAACGTACTCTCCGGACTTGGCTGCGTGTTGGGTGGCATGGTCGGAGCGGAAAGTGCAAGTGACAATGCACCATACTTGATCCGTTACGGGGAGAAGTTGTGCCTCGGACAGAAGCCCGCCTGACCCGCACTCGGCGCCAAGGTTTGAGGCGAGTTTCCATGGTTCCATCTAAGGACAATTTCGTCCGGTTCTGTTCCGCATCTTGCGTTTTGTTTAGCTCTCGCTCGCTTTTGGCACTGTGCTTCAAACAGTGGTGATATCTATGGATTTAGCTGCCATTATTCGTATGCTTGGTCCCAGACCCCAAGCACCATAACCCTTATTTCCAGACGCCAGAGCTTGGCGTTCTTCTGCTTGGCTCTTCGGACTTGAACTTTTTGGGTGTCTATGAACTATAATAGGGAGGCTCAGATTTTCACTTTAGGAGGGTTTCAGAAGTCAGCCAAGGTGCTACATTCTTACGGGATCATAACCTGCTGTTTTTGAAATTCGGTCCTAAACCCCAAACACCATAGCCCTAAAACCCAAACGACATGACCCTAAACCCCAAACACCATAACCCTAAAACCCGAACGCCATAACCCTAAACCCCAAAACACCATAACCCTAAAATCCAAACGTCGTAACCCTAAACCCCAAATGCCATAACCCTAAAACCCAAACGCCATAACCCTAAACTCCAAATGCCATAAGCCTAAACAAGTTGGTAGCCTAGTTGGGGGTTTAGGGTACTATATGGGGTTCCTTTAAGGGATCTATAGGGCTTCGAAAGGCCCCCCGCCAGATGTGATCTCCTACAACGCCATGATCTACGCTTGTCGCCGCCTGCTTTGGCTTATGTAGATCCCCAAAGGTTCTATAGGGGCTTATAGGGTTCCTTCAACGGGATCTATTATCAGGATTCTATAAGGGCTCCTTTGAGGGAGCTATACTTAGATCACCAATACCTAACCTTTAAACGTTTTGGGTTCTTATAGTTTAGTAGGAATCGGCAAGTTAAACATTTTATTTCTGTTTTTCATTGGGGTAGTAACTAACCAGAGGGTCCTAGTACGTGCACACTAAAATCTGGCCTCTGCAAGGGTATATTGTTCCAAGTATACGGATAGTAAACAGTTCAAGGTCTAATGTCTATAAGAGACCCTAATTCGGGGTCTAATGCCTATAAGCGACACAAAAACCTAAACCCTAAACCCTAATTCGGGGTCTAATGCCTATAAGCGACCCTAAAACCTAAGCCCTAATTCGGGGTCTAACGGTTGATGATATAAATCCTGCATTACCCATAAGAAGGAATATACCATAATTCCCATAGTTTAGGGTCCTCAGGGTAATGCAGGATCTATAATATCATCAGCAGTATGTCTACTTTATCAGGGAGTATGGAAGGAAATTAATAGCAAAGGTAAATTCTAACAACAATCACAATAATGATAAATGATAACAATCATGATAATTTACAACAATAATTACAATAAGGCTTGATAACTAGAAGAACAAGGAACTCCCGAAAGCTAGGTTTGTTGGGGCTGCTGGCATGAATTTGGGTTTAGTAATTGCGATGTCTTCGTGGCACGGGCAGGTCAGAGGAGGAGGGGTCCTGGAATCGTTAGCCCTCCTTGCGAAACGGGGGTTTCACCCTTGGTTTCAGGGCCCCTCCGCAATGTTGGGTGTACATTTGGCGAGTGCACTTCCAAGGATGGCAAAGGAGGGATGGGAGTACTATAAGGGCCTTAATAATCACCTATACTATTCTGGGGGCTCCGTCATTATTATTGTTATTACCTATATGGTATAACATACACCGGAACCGGCCCCAAACCTTGTTCTAATTATTAAGGCCCCTATATTAGGCCATCGGATGCTGCAGAGCTGTAACTTCCAAGGCTCCAAAAAAGTCGCTGAGCTACCCTGTCCGTTCCAACCTCCACCGCAAGACTTTACGACATCCAAAAGGGACTTCAAAGGGATCACAGTGACATGAACAGCTTTAGAAGACAGGTTCTGAGATCTGTAGCTTATGTTTCGGGGCAGGGCGTTTTTTTTGCCCCCAAGAGCTGCCACTGTGACGTTGTTGCTCCACACCACCTCCACTGACTAGTAACTAGAGACGGACTTTCATGGAACTGCTTCGTGGTGTTCGGATTTTGCATTGCAGCCAGGCATTTTAGATCTCCCCAGGTCCAGGGTTCACCTGAAAGGTTTCAGCCGCTCGCGAACAATCTAAATCAAAACCTCAACATCAAGGCAAAGAACGACCGGAGTGGGCTTTGGCATTCCTCGACCGCATGCGCCTGGCGAAGGCTCTTTGTCACAAAGTGTTCTTAAACCCTGGCCTTAAATCCCCAATCCAAAACCCTCCAACCCAGAAGCCCCAGACCCTCAACCTGAAATCCCCACAAGAGTCCCTAAACTCTCCCAAATCCAAAATGCTACAACCAAATCATGAATCCTGAAAAACCCTACACCCTGAGCCACAAACCCTAAGCCTGTGATGGCTACAAGTCTTCGATGGATTTGTGCAGAAGGATCACCAGACATGTACATATCCGAAGAGTGATCTCTGCATACATAGATGTATACAGGGTGTTTCACTCATGCTACTACTGAAATGCCTAGTACTTGCACCTGAACATGTACACACAGAGCTAGCACACAAACATATATGCATATATATATATACACACATGTGCATATGCAGAGGTACATTCAAACATGTCCATGTCCACACATGCTTACATGAACATGTGCACATCTATACATGTGTACGTATATACACATGTGAACAATCATACATACATACATGCATACATACATCCTTACACACACATATATATACACACATTTCCTCTCTCTGTACGTATATCTTTATATGTATAGATGCATAGCCTGCGAATGCACATCCATGCCTGCACGTTCTTACAACATTAGCTGAAAAAGGATGAGTAAGCTTTTACACGGTGACATCAACTGAGATAACAGGCAAGCACAACAGAAGCGGACCAGACTTCAACCGGAGGCGTTAGTCCCCATCTTCGGCATAAGAGAACCCTAGTACGGTTGATGATATAAACCCTGGGGTTCCTTTAAAAGGATCAAAAAGGTACCTTCAAGGGGTTCCTTCAAGGGATCTATCGAGCATTTCGGGTTGATGATATAAATCCTGCATTACCCATTAGAAGGAACATACCATACTTCCCGTAGTTTAGGGTCCTGAAGGTAATGCAGGATTTGTATCATCAACCGTAGTTTGGCGTATTGTCGCCGTATGGACAGGAGCCTGGGTTTTCAGGAAGTCGACTAATTGTGTCTTGAACAGGTGACTGCAAAGGTTACTCTAGGGGCACAGTCTAGAAGACCGTAACAGTGGAAATTAGGATCTTGCGGCATAGTTTACTTGCAACAACATAAGAATGTCTGTACACATAGATTTATGCAAGGGTCTACTGCAATACTATACTATTTTAAGGAGGAGCCCGAGGCTTAGGATATGTACTTATAACAAGGAGCCCTAGGGAGGAGTATGGGGGGGGCCAAGGATCTCATGGCTTCAGGGTTCCGGGTTCGCAGAGTAGGTTTTGGGTGTAGGGTTGAGAGGGTTTAGGGGCATATGCGTTGTCCAGGTGTAAAAAAAGGGTTGAGAGGGTTGCGAGTTCGTAGCGTAGGTTGAGGGAGAGATGGAGAAATCCTTCTCCTCGTGCCCTGAAATCAAAGCGCCAACCATCCTTCATTCTGGACCCAGGCGGCATTTCCCGAGCTCTGTGCCCTGTGGCCGGTTCCTACGTCCTAAGACACGAAACCTAGGATCCTAGTACAACCCCGCAAAGCCCAAAGCCGTAAACCGTTGCACCAGGTGCCCCTCAGTCAAAGCCCGGATTTTGCTTTGACTCTTTTTACGGCTCAGGATGGCATTGGGGTTTAGGGTTTCGGTGTTCCTAGACCTCCCAACTATCTTCTCTGATACCTAAATGCCCTCTATTTAGGACCTTACGGGCATTCTTAAAGCGTACTTGGAACGTCCTGCGTTGTTTCAGGGTCGAGGACACTTAAAGGTTCATGGTATTTCGTAACTAGGGTTGTAAACAAGGTAACTATACTCATCATTGATTGAGGCCGCTGTTAACATACTTATAACTGTAATGTTAATCCCAAGAACTTCCAAGTAGGGCTGAAGCTCAGGTACCTCCAGACGTCATCTCGTACAACTCGGTGATGCAAGCCTGTGGCGAGGCTGTTGGATGTGAGTTCGGGTTTAGGGCTTCAGGGTGTAGGTTTTTGGGTTTACCCCATGACTCATACAGCAGCCATAAGAAACTGTGTTCCTTCGCATGTGGGTTCTCTTGCCATGCCTTTAGAAGGCGTTGCTGAGCTTTAAGCCAATATTGAACTACTACCCCACTTCGTGTGCGCACGACCTTCGCCACGCACACTACTCCCTTTGCTGTCACAGAAACCAATAACAGCAGTAATAGTATAAGCAACAACATCAGAATCAACACCAACCACTCCAACCAGCAATGACACACAACCGCATCATTGACGACCAGGGCCAGGCCACTGCAGCGCCCACCTGTGAGGTTGCAGTGCTATGGGTGTTGCTTTTCAGAGTTATGTGCTCCTTTTTATTTGTGTTTCCGTTTCGGAGTGGAGGGTTCAGGGCCCTCTCTGCTTGGTCTCTTGACTGCTGTGTGCTGCTTGAGGTTGGCTTTGAGGTTGAGGGTTTGTATATCTTAGGAACCTGGAGTCGTTTAAGCTTCAAATGGCTTCAGGCCGTTGTGAGTAGATAGGAGTCGGGAAGTCCGAAGGATAATCAAAGGAGTGATCATTAGTTACCTAAATTAGAAGGTCAGTATATCACCTAGTGACCCTTTTAGGTACCCAAAAGTCACTGGAAGGGCAAAGGACGTGCTATCGTGCGTGGGGTTGCTTGTTGTCGCAATCCTACCACCATAAACTTCCATTCTAAGACTTATGAGGATCCGATTATAATTTAGAAGGGGCCCCCACCCTGTAATAGTGACTATAAGGATTATATTAGGGCCGTAGTATATTCCTACTATAACACTATTACAGGGTGGGGGCAGCTTCTAGCTTAGAATTATTGAAGCTTTGGGGCTCCAGTTACCTCAATAGTGGGCTACTAGTCTTACAGGCTCTGAACAGCGATGGGTATCCGTTTTCAGGCCAATCTCTGGGAACATGTCTTGAGCGGTCTCTTCGACATGGAGCACCAGGGTGCCCTGCTTGATTCAGGGTTGTTGTTTTAACCAGGTTTCTGGTGGGTCTCAGGGTTTACAGGGTTCCTACTATGTTCAGGGTGTCCTGCTAAATTCAGGGTGTTGCTTTAAAGGTTCCTTTAAGGGGTATCATGGGGGTTGTAATTGTTTTATTTAAGGGGTTCCTTTAAAGGGGTATTATAGGGGCTATAATGTTTTAACCAGGTTTCCGGTGGGTCGCTTGGGTAGTTGTCCTAAACCCTAAACCCAATTATGGTCCCTAATTGGGTACCTAAATCGTAGGTGCCGTATGTATTATAACCAGGTGCCTGGGCTCCGTCTTATTTAGGGTTTAGGGTTCCTACTATATACCCGATATAGACTCTTAAGGGTCCCTAGAAACTCCCTCAAAAAGGCCTCAGGGTCCATCTTCCGGTGGGTCTCTTGGATTTGTGGAATTTCGGATCTCGCCTTCGGTCGTGATGTGTAGGGCGAACCAGGCGGAGATGCCCTCCAAGGGGTGATTACAATGTTGCCTCTTCAGCTCTAACGGCGCGCAAGTAAGAAGCTGCGCTTCTGGTGCTTCTCGTGGCTGTTGCCTTGTTTTTCCAAGTGTGCTGGGTTGCAAATTTGGAATTACTCGGCAACGTCTGTGGTGGGTGTAGTGGATGTACACTGCGAGCCTTTCTGAACCCAGTAGTACTGTATCCGCTATCATAACAAAACGTACCTAAAACCCTAAACTCTACACAATGAACGGCTTTCAGAGGAATGCTTGGAATCCCTATATACAAAACCTGCTTGCATCCACAATTAGTTTAATGATAGGTAAAGCTTCATGAATTTACAAACCTCAAGTAGTCGAAACCTACAGCGCTTCATTCCATTCTGGACCCCAAGTTCTGGGGATTGGAGATCCCAGGCAAATGACCCGAGGAAGCTAGCAGCTACCCTAGTTGAAGATTTCATGAGGGTTTAGGGTTTAGGGTTTAGGGTTTATGTATAGTTCTGACAGGAAGGGGTGTATAGGTCTAACAGGAAGAGGCACACAGTTGGGGCTATACGCAGATGTATAGCTCCAGTTACCTTGCTCAGAACCGTGCTTGCCAAGTCCCTTTATCCTGCAAGCACGGTTTGGGGTCTTAAGGTCAATCCTAAGGCTTGAGTAGGGCTTCGGGTTTAGGGCACAAGAAGAAGCCCGCAAAGGGATCATCATCTCCAGCCCAATCCGCTCAACACAGGTAGACTCACATGTTCTGAACGCTAAACTTGACCTAACAGCTACAACCCGAAACCTTAACGCCTATACCCTGAGCCCCTGTAGATCTCCCTTTCAAAAGAACTTTTAGACCTCAGCACCCAAACAAAAAGCATTAAACCCTATACCCTGAGCCCCTTTAGATCCCATTTTAAAAGATCTCAAAACCCAGAGTAGTAGAATAAACAAAAACGCCAAAGCTTAAACCCTATAGAACCCTATACTCTGACTGAACCCCTATAGATCCCATTTGGACTGACAGCGAGACCTCAAGACCCTATAATGTATGTAGGAACAAACCCTGGGCCTATAACCCCCCCCAAGAGAGTTGCATTCTTCAGTCTCATAGAAGGAACCCTAATAAGGCCCGTTTCTTAATCAGGTTCCTACATTACTTAGATCCCCAATACCTAACCTTTAAACTTTTTGGGCTCTTATAGTTTAGTAGGAAGTTTAACCTTTGTATTTCTCTGGCTTATTGCGGTAGTAAGAAACACTAACCAAGGGATCATCCCTTCCCTGGACTCTTACTACATCGCCATGGAGAAGCTGTTGCGTGCGGGGCAGACTCCCAAGGCCCATCTGGAAAATTCAGAGGTGATGAAAATACAGGGGCGTAAATAATTACCAATACTATTTCGGAGGTTCTTTATTATATAGTTATAGTATAATGGCACCAAAACCCTATTTTAATTATTAAGGCCCCTATATTAGCTAAGAACCTTAACGGAGGCTACTCTCGCGGAATGGGGTTCTTATGCAGGCGGGGTTTACCCCAAGGCTTCACGTATACAAATACTACCTATTTTGGGGCTTGATTAAGTCGAGAGACAGTACATAGCTGGGGTCTATAGTTTAGGGATGAAGATTCCCCAAGGCTCCAAGTATACAAATAGTACCTACCTTTGGGGTTGAAAGTTCAAAAACCGTAGATAATTTGGGCCATTTGGAGCCCCAGGGCGGTGGTTCAGAGATTTGGCTCTAACAGTTTGACGGCCGACTTCCCAAACAGGGATGCAAAAGAGGTTTCGGTTTTAAGGATGTGTCATAGTGCTCTCGAGGGTGTTATGGTGCGATGGGCTCCGCAAGAGTTTTGATAGGGTTTTCATGCGCCTTCATAGAGCGACTATGGAATTGTCTATAGCTTCGAGGGGTTCCATAGGGCTCACGGTTTTTGTACATAGCGCGCAATGTGCCCTTTGCAGGGCTGTCCAGATTTTTAGCTATAGTTGAAGGACCTTGTTAAAGATTATAGGCTTGTATAGGACTCTTTGGATTCTTATTGGCTGTTGGGGTTGACAACCACCCACATGGCTTTCCTGTGAAAGCAGTCTTTAGCTTTCGAGATTGGTTTCCACTGTCTGGTGCTTAATTAGTAGAATGGGGGAAATGGACCCTTATAGTAGTCCCTATATAATCCCCGATGGTAGTCCCAATATCCCATTCCCCCATTCCCTCCTAAGAACCAGACAATTCAAGTGTTGTTTTTGGGAGGAAGGGTGCAGCTTGGTGAAGCTTCCCGAGTTTGGGAGGTTTTTTCTTCAGGCGCCTGTGGGAGCACCCGCAATACTCCCAAAGTCTCCAGCAGTCACCGAACCCCAAAGGGTTTATGGGTTTAAGGCAGTCACCGCACCCTAAGTCACGGCGGGACTTCTGTATGGCGACAGGCTTCTGCCTCGTATTCAAGCCTTATCCGGACCCCTCAGCCGACACTTAAAACCTTTGCTTGCTTAAGCCCGAACGGAAAGGGGAGGTCAACATAAACACAACTCTTGCAGAGCCATTGCGTTCGCACTGGTGTTTGCGCACACACATATGTATTTGCACAGACACACAAAATGAATTTTCTTGGGGATAGTATCTTCGTGTGCATGCAGTAGACACGTATTTGACCACCAAACGAAATTGCTTTCTATTCAGGTAGACAGGTGCTGAATTTCAGCAATCGTGTTCCAATACCAGCTGTAACAGAATGGCTAGAACATATTTTGCCTCAGGGCTCAGGGCTATGTGAAGCTGGTTGGAGAATACTCTTGGTTCTATGATCCCCCAAACCCGCTAAACTGCAGCAGCAATGTTTGATGACACAAATCCTGCATTGCCCGTAAAAGAAATATACCATAATTCCCATATTTCAGGGTCCTTAAGGTTATGCAGGATTTAATCATAACCGGAAACCCTAGACCCTAACCCTATAGATCCCTTAAAGGAACCCCTTAATCAAAGGTACCCTTATAGATCCCTTTAAAAGGAACCCAGGGTTTAGATCATCAACAGAAGGCCCACTTTATGGAGGCCGCGACCTGCGAACAAGTTGTACATGAAGGCTACAAGCCGTCAGCAGTAACCCTGAAACGTCCTAACATAGGGCCTCAATAACTACCTATACTTTTTTTGGGGTTCGTTATTATACTTATCGAGGCCCTTATATTAAACTTAACCTAAACCCCGAATCAAAAACCCTACCGAACAAGCGAACCCTAAACCCCAAACCCTAAACCCTAAGCCCTAACCCTAAACCCCAAACCGTCCAGGCATTGGAGCTCTTCCAGAGCCCGCGCATGCGTGGACTGAAGCTCGACCAAGGCTGTTCTGGGCCTTTCGAGTTTGCGGCCTTGAATTTAGAGCCTTCAGATATGCATGTATATACCCTAGGACCTGGAGTAGGCCCTTATTCCCTTTTTTTAGGGTTCAGGTCCCCTTATAAGCCCCTTTAAACCAAAAAGGGCACCCTTTTTGTTCCTAGGTTACTCTTGGGTCTAGTACCTAGGGGTCCTTATATTAAGGGTCCCTCCTTTTCCCCTTGGGAGACCTAGAGCTTGAACCTTCAGGGAGGTCAAGATATGCCTCCCTAAGGGTCCAAGTACCCAAATAGTAGGGTTTCAAGGTGCAAAAACCATTCAGGGTATGGATTTTGGGCCTTCGAACCCTATTATTTGGGTACTTGGACCCTCGGGGTTGGGATTTAGAGCCTTCAGATTTAGAGTTTAAAGGGTTGGTAGGGTTTTAGAGTCTTCGGGATCCTGTCGAATCTTATCTTTCATTGTCTTTCAAGAAACGCTACAAATGCACTATGCCCTCGCCCCTCCATCGTACACAAAGCTCGGCATGCGGGCAGGCTCTCCCTATGGAGGGTCCCCGTGTTGCGCTGTTTGTTTCGGGCTTTCTGATTCTGGTTCATGATTGTGTGTTTGGCTTTTGTGATTTCTGACTTACCTTTCTGGCAGCACAGCTTAGGTCCAAATCCGCCTTTTCAAAGCTTGTCTATCTAGCTTGCTGCTCACTTTGGAGACTCCCATGACAGTTCAGGTTTTCCAAAATCACTGAAATAAGGAGTATACCTTATAGTTATAGTAGGATCCCGAGTATGATTTAAGGTATATTCCGTGAGGGTTTCTTAAATTTCCGGGGAGTTCTGACTCCCAGGCAGCTTCCAGTTCCAAGCCATGTCAAACCTTGAACTCAAGGAGGATACAAGCGCTTGACCGAGGGTTTTCTAGGGTGTATGTGGGGATTAGGGATGGTTTGAGGTTTGGGAACTAGGGAGTTTTTGTCTTTGGGCTTTTGGTTGGGCTTAGCTAATATGATGCACAATCTTACAGGTTACAGGGCGCAGTGCTTGGTTACGGTGTCTAGGCTTCACAAAAGCCGTCGAGCGGTGAAACTACCGAAGGTTGAGAACATGGTAGCACTAGATTATCATCGGCATTATTGCTCGGGATCCCGTAGTAATATTTGCACTTCTCCGATCTATCTCAAAACCTCCTTTCTGCTTCTTCATATTATAAGGCCCCAATATGCCTGCTTCATCCACGGGAGCTCTCACAGAGAGTTTGGTTCTAGGAGTTTAAGGGTTTGGGTTCCGTTAGAATTGACGGAAGGAGCAGGGATCCGATCTCGGTCTTAGGGTTGGGGCCTGCTTGGAGGGTCGGGGGACTTAGTAACTGGTTATTTTAGGGACTTATAAGTACCATAACCCCAATTAGGGTCCCTTTTAGGGTACTTATAAGTCTACCTACTACCTACTTACTAAGTCCCCCGACCCTCCAAGCATTCATGGCAGTTGCTGTCCAAATTGTGCTGCTCAGCGGTAGGGCGACTACCGTACGAGCAGACGAGGATGAAACTGTGGCAGCATTGAAGCTTCGGGCACAGACGACGCTTGGAGTGGGAAAAGGGCGGCTGATGGACTCATCTGGAAGTGTTTTGGATGAATCTTCAACGGTTAAGGCTGCCAAGATTCAGGATGGTGCTTCACTGACCTTGCGCATAATCCCTGTTCAAGTCCGAGCCTCCTCACATGCTTTTGCTGCCATTCTGGGCGACGGCTCTGTCGTGACCTGGGGTGATGCTTCTTCGTAGCTGAGTGGATACACTTTACTTTTTTTTGGGATAGTATTACCCCTTATAAAACTACAAGTGTACACTTTTGGGGGCTTATGAACTCAGCAACTACTTGGAGGTTCAAGGGACTTAGTAAGTACAGTTATAAGTACCTTAACTGGGGTTATAAGAAATTATAAGTATAGTTACCTTATTTATAACCCTAGTTACAAAGTCCCATGAACCTCCAACTAAGGCTTCTGCTGGCGGTGACAGCACTTCTGTGCACTCTCGCCTGGTTCATGGGGGTAGTAAGGAGAAGGTGCAACAGATTCAGGGGTCGCAGTACGCTTTTGCTGCCATTCTGGGCGACGGCTCTGTCGTGACCTGGGGTCAGGCTTCTTAGTAGCTGAGTGGATACACTTTACACTTTTTGGGATAATATTACCCCTTATAAAACTTGGGGGGCTTGTGAACTCAGCAACTAAGGCTTATGCTGGCGGTGACAGCAGGGCCGTGAAATATGAACTGCAAAATGTACAGCAGCTCCAATCCTCTTTGGGTGCTTTTGCTGCTATTCGTCTTGATGGCTCTGTCGTGACCTGGGGAGAGACTTCCGATGGCGGGGACAGCAGTGCTGTGCAGGATCAGCTGCAAAATGTGCAGCAGATCCAAGCAACTTTCAGCGCGTTTGCTGCACTTCTTGACAATGGATTTGTTGTGAGCTGGGGTTCTAATCTTGCTGGTGGTGACAGTGGTGCTGCGCAGCCGCAGCTAAAGGACGTGCGACAGATACAAGCCTCCTCCGGCGCTTTTGCTGCCATTCTTGGCGATGGATCCGTCGTCACCTGGGGTAGTTTTGATGATGGTGGTGACAGTAGTGCTGTACAGGATCAGCTACAGAATGTACAGCAGATTCAGGCTTCTTTCAGCGCATTTGCTGCCATTCGTCGTGATGGCTCTGTTGTGACCTGGGGTGACGCCGGTTCTGGGGGCGACGCTAGTGCTGTGCAGGATGAGCTGAAGAATGTGCAACAAATCCAAGCCTCGCAGTGCGCCTTCGCCGCCGTTCTTGGCAATGGATCTGTCGTAACCTGGGGTGCTGCAGGGTACGGTGGTGACTGCAGTGTCGTGCGGGATCAGCTGAAGAATGTGCGACATATCCAAGCCTCTGGCAGCGCTTTCGCCGCCATTCTTGGCGATGGTTCTGTTGTGACCTGGGGTGAGGCTTTTTCTGGCGGTGACAGTGGAAGTGTCCAGGGTCAACTGAAGAATGTGCAGCAGGTGCACGCCTCCTGGTATGCCTTCGCCGCTATTCTTGACAACGGATCGCTCGTGACCTGGGGTGATGTTGAGCGTGGCGGTGACAGTCGTGCGGTGCGGGAGCAGTTTCAGAATATGGGTAGTTCTCCAACTTAGGGTCCTAAACTCCTAAACCCTGAACCCCAAGACCCTATACCCTAAACCCTTGTTTCACTCAGCAGACTCCGAACCATCTGCCTCGCCTGGATTGTCCGAGTGTGAGTGCCGAAACCCTAAACCTTAAGATCCTAAGACCCTGTACCCTAGTTTAGAGAACTACCCGTATCAGCCAGCCTCAGGCACTCAATCCTGAGTCCTATGCCGTTGCCGACGTAGCTGCCGACCCACTAATTCGCTTAAAAACAATAGGGGCCTTAATAATTACCTACAGGGGTTCCTTTTAAAGCGGTCTATAAGGGCGACTATCAGGAGTATTATGGGGGGTTTAGGATAGGGGCCGTTGTAATTTAAAGACCATAATACTCTTTTGGGGGTTCCTTATTATAACTATATGGTATAATGAGCCCAAAACCCTATATTCAGGCTCCTATATTAGTCTTGCTCGCCGGTGCGGGTGCGCTCCAGAATCAAGTGAGGTCTTTGCACATGCCTGCTTTGACTTAAGCGCAGAAGTCGCCCCTTGCATCACACCTGGCACACCTTGTAAGACTACATGAAGTAGTTACATATATGCACACTCTCATTTACGCTATACATGCGAACATACCCAAGTAGATACCAACTAATGGGATCTGCAGATAATCTTTCCGAGTTTCGAGATACGCTCCTGCGCTATCCACATTGCTCCATTTGGGGTTAGGGGTGCCAGGTTCAGGGTCGGGCTGGGTGCACACGGGGTTATCACCCTCTCAGTGTCGGTTTAGGGTTTAGGGTTTATGGTGTCTGTCTCTCTCTCTCTCTCTCTCCCTCTCTCTCTCTCTCTCTCTCTTTGTCTCTCTCTCTCTCTCTCTCTCTCTCTCTCTCTCTCTCTCTTTGTCTCTCAGAGAAATGTCCTGGCATGCCTCAGAACACCCGCAGAGAAACTCAAAGACAGGGAGACAGGGCTTCCAGGCTGTCTATTGCAGGTCTAGGTAGGGCTTTGGGACATTTTATATTTCCCCATTTGGGGTTTAAGAGGATCTTATTTACTAATGTTTTTCAAAGGCTTTAAAAGCCCCACCTAGAGGTGGCAAACAACATCTGAGTTTATGGCTTCGATTTGAGGGCTTGGCGAGCTCTAACAGCGATCTTGGTGATCTGAACATGAACATGATCCGAGTATAGAAAACTGCAGAAGCTCCTGACTATAACTATACCATAGCATACCCCGATACCCTATTCTAAACCCTAAACCCTATCTTAAACCTGAAACCCTTCTAATCCCTAAGCGCTGAAATCCGACATTCCACCCTGAAGCCCTTCTAACTCCCCAAACCTGCAGCCTTTGCGAAGTATTGTTGCAACACAATCATTAAGCCCTCAAGCGCTGCCCCAAACTCTAAACCCTAAACCCCAAGCCGTGGAGGTTGTTACAACGAGCTCATCATCGGCGCTCTTCGAGCCGGCTCCGTTGAGTGGGCTGATCATCTGGTGAGGAAGGCGAGTAGGGTTTAGTTTAGGATTTAGGATTTAGGGTTTAGGGTTTAGGGCTTTTCGTCTTTAGGGTTGAGGACTTGAAATTCTGTGTTTAGGGTTGCTGAGTTTATTTAGGTTTCAGGTCTAGGCATTTAGGTGTTTAGGGTTTTGAGGTTCCCGGAGTTTGGTGGTCTAGGCTGCAGAGTTGAAGTAGGACCTCCAGCCTAGGGAATTTGAGGTATATTCCTGAAAAAATGGACATGGGAGTCCCTGAGAATCTCAACAACAACTAACCGTTGAGCCCGAGAATGCGAGGAAACCTTTCAGTGCTTCCGTGGGTTCTGAATGACCGCACATATAACTCTTAGACTTTTTAACCTCCTTAATACCCTAAATCCAAAACCAGATTTTTAACCAGAAATTGTAAGAAGAAGGATTCCACCTCTAAACACTTTTAATCTCAATCCTGGGACCAGAATCTGAACCCTAAGCTTGACGCCCTGTCCACACCTCAGAGACAGGTCCTAAACCCATTTGTTCCTGGATTGCCAGTAAATAGCTAAGGCGTTAAACGTTAAACACAACAGTGCATGCGCATATAAAACAGACACACACACACATGCATTCACACGCACACGCACACGCACACGCACACGCACACGCCCACGCCCACGCCCACGCGCACGCGCACGCGCACGCGCACGCGCACGCGCACGCACACGCACACGCACACGCACACGCACACACACCCACACACACACAGACACACACACACACACACACACACAATCAAACGTGCAACGCCATCCATGCACGTCAGCCATGACGGCGCGGCCATCTCCGCGGCCTTTGGGGCCGTGGCGCTTCCAGTCCAACAGAGTTGCCAACGAGGCAACACTCTAAGTTGGAAACGCGAGGAGACACGAATGACACTTTGCTTCAATCCTTGAGACTTGAGGTTTTATTGATTCACAGAGTTTTTGCATCTGGACTGCTCAGAAAATCGCTCGAAGAGGCTGAAGGCTGGATGGGCTCATATGCGGAGCTAGGGTCCATGTCGAAGGCAAGTGGGCGTGTGAGTCCCGCATTCATACGGCTCATGGTGGCCAAGTTGGACGCCTGTCCGATCGGCTGTCTTTGGCTCCACTGAAATGTGGGGCTGATGGCTGAGGTAGTTCTGTGGGCTTTGTCGGCCGTCCATGGGACTCCAAAACCCTCCTAAACCACACTTGGAAGGGCAGGGGACTTAGTAAGTAGGTTATATGTAGAGTTATAAGTACCCTAAATGGAGTTACCCCAATTATAACCCTACTTATAACCTACTTACTAAGTCCCCCGCCCTTCCAAGCAGGCCCCCTGGTTCTTACGGAACCAGGAGCCCCAGAACCCTCATTCCTGACCAAAAACCAGAGAGCACTGGGATCCTGAGTAAGACCATACTTGGAGGGTCGGGGGACTTAGTAAGTAGGTAGTAAGTAGACTTATAAGTACCCTAAGAGGTACCCTAATTGGGGTTATGGTACTTATAAGTCCCGAAGATAACCAGTTACTAAGTCCCCCGACCCTCCAAGTATTTCTTCCAAAAGCCAAAACCCGAAACATCCCCACAAAACGGCAACCTCCAAGTACCCTTTTATGGCCCAGGATAGTCCCTTATATTTATAGTAGCTCCCATAACCCCCATTCCCACAAAGCTGCAACCTCCAAGTACCCTTTCATGAGCGTGGCTACTTAGAATACAGTAGCGGGTAGTTCGGGGGTGCTGGAAACAGCCGACTTTATCCCCAAAACCCTAGACCCCCTTAGACCCTGACAGCTAAACCCTAAACACCCTTATAACCTAAACCCTAAACCCCCAAACCTTAAACCCTAAACCCTAAACCCTTAAACCCTAAACCTTAAACCCTTAAACCCTAAACCCTAAACACCCTTAAACCCTAAACCCTAAGCCCATTTAGGGCAGATTGCGTCATTAAGGGGTCTTCGGAGTTCGAGTCTCGGGAACCATGGAGCCCAAGGCCATGGTAGGTTCAGGGTTTAGGGTTTAGAGCTTCGGTGACTCAAAACAGGTCTTAGGGTTTAGGAACTTAGGGTAACAGGGTTCGGGGTTTTGGGGTTCTAGGGCTTGTAATTCAAGGATTTGATCGGTTTGTCTGTAGTTGATTATGACTGACTAGGATGACTAGAGTTTTGGATGTGGCTTGCGCCAAACGCCGCAGACTTTCGGATGTTGGGGCCTATGGGCCTTACGACTAAAGTCTCGAGTTTACGGGTGTAGGACAGGGTGAGAGGAAAGTAACCCACAAAGCACACATAACTCCGAACCACCCTAAACCCTAAGATGCCCAGTAGTACCCTTATTCCCTTTATGTAGTAGTCCTCGATTCCTTATAAGTTACCCAATGCCAAAAAGGGAGCCCTTTTCATTCCTAGGTTAGTGGGCATCCTAGAACCCTAAACCCAAAACCGCAAACCCACGTGATCCGGTCAGGCGCAGGAGGATGGCACTTTCGTGCGAGGCGCCTTCTCACTTTGAGGGGAGTCACGGAGACTTCGAGACATGCATCATGCCCAAGAGGCTCCAATATCACTGAATTGAAGAATATGCCTTAAATCCCTTTTGGGATCCCACTATGATTTAAGGAATATTCCTGAATTAAGGGAGACTTGTCGGAGTTTCTGGGGACAACTGGACAAGGCCCTGAACTTCCGGGGCTTGATTGAGTGGGGCCCTTGAGGGTTTAGGGTTACATTCCAAACTTCCGCACCTCCGACTGCACCTTTCTGGACCACAAAGATTTCCCTTGGGTACGGCCCCCACTCAGTAATAGTTGAGGAATATTCATAATAAAGATATAGTAGGACCTTAATAGTAGCCCTATTATAGGTTCTTACTGTATGGGCGCCGTAGCTAAGATCTGCCCAACTTGCAGGATCCAAGGCGTTTTGTAAGATCTGTAGCATCATCGTGTGTAATACAATGCAACCCCACAGGGACTCAACATATTTCCAATAAGCAGCTTATCTAAAGTACTGTTGATGATATAAATCCTGCATGACCTTAAGGACCCTAAACTATGGGAATTATGGTATATTCCTTATTATGGGTAATGCAGGATTTATATCATCAACCGTAGTGCTCCTTTCAAGGTTCCCTCCCAACAGCCTACTACAACTGCTGCGACGACGGCCAAGACTACTGCCACCCGGTCCTACAACAACACCTACCTCAAGGACAACTACTACTCCTTCTACTGCACAGCTTTACTGCCATTGCTGCCAAGCTTTCAGTTCAACTGCAGGCCCTGGGGCTCTTCGAACAGTGTGACACTTTAACTACGCAGAAGACCGCGCATCACCATTTTCTTGCAACCTGATGAGAGTGATCTTGGTCGCTTCGCATTCCCTGTTCTGGTTCCGCAGCTGCTTTGGGGGTAAGTTTCCATACAGCTGATGTACCTCTTGGACTTGGGAGTTGGAGGAGTTTGGGTCCAGCGTGAGAAGTCCTTAGGCCACAAAGTGCAGGCCAAAAGAATGATGTGGATCTACACCTCATGCGAGTGCCAGTTGCACAGCTGCGAGGCTGCAAGAGTTTGGAATTGCTTGTCATTTCGATCAGGGTTTAGGGTTCCTTAACCCTAAACCCTAAACCCCAAAACCCTAAACCCTAAAACCCTAAACCCTAAACCCCATAGACCCCTTTAAGGAACCCTATAGGAAACCCTAAGAGTTGAGTTCGGGTTGGCATTCCAGCGCGCCCTTCGTTGCAGCTGCTGCACGCAGATTGTTCAAATGAACCTATACTAGGTGGGGCTTTGGGACATTTTATATTTTCCCTTACTGGGCTTAAGAGGATCTTATTTACTAACATTTTTCAAAGGCCTTAAAAGCACCACCTAGTATAAGCCGTCTACCAAACAAGCCTTCAAACCCGAATAAGCCTTACCTGGACCCCCAAATGAACCACGAATTTAGGGGGACATCATAGTAGGGAACCTAACCAGGAAGGTTTAATAAGGTCCAGGTAAGCCTTGTAATCCCTGACCTCAAGCAAAAAACCTAGTTGAGCCGAGGCCAGCAAGGCTTTTGCTCCGCATGTCAATAGGCTTTCAGTGACTGCATGGGTCGCATCGTTCAAGAAACCCTTAAAGGGAGACTTAAACTGTTCAAGAAACGAAAGAAGCTTTAATCAACTTGAAAAGGAAGCTTGCTATGGTAGCCTTAGAGGAACCCCTACACCGTCTCCCAATTCCTTCAAGAATACAAACTCAGTTTTGCACTCCGCGTTGTTGTGTGAAGCAGAGCTGGAGCTTAGAGAAAACTTACCCTGAGCCCTAAATCTTATAAGCTCTAACCGAGACTCTAACCCCTAAGCCCTAAACTTTAAACTCTCAGCCTTAGCCCCTAAACCCTAAACTCTAAACCCTCAGTTAGTGTCCGTTGTTGTGCGGCATCGCCTTGGAGCCCTCAGCCCAAGCATAAGATGCTCGCTTGTTTGTGTGCGCCGCGATGCTTTGCGCACCCAAGAAGTTTTGCCCAGGTTCGTTGTGCTCACTGCGCTGCGAGACAGAGACGCTGCGCTGCAGACGGTTCTCTTGACTTAGGTGTTTGTGTTTTGTTGTGAAGGTGTGTGGTTATAATATTAGTTGTCTAAACCCTGAACCCTAGATCCTAACCCTAAACCCTAGACCCTAACCCTAAAAACTGAATGGCCTCGTCTGGCTTGTTCGAGTTGCGAGAGCGTAAATCGAACCAGTAGTCAGTGCCATTAGTCCTGTTGGAGCTGTGGAGAAGATTCGTCTCCATGCGCAGAGGGCTCGTGGACTCGAAATGTGGAGTCGGCTAACTTACTTTGAAGAATGTGAGCCCTACTTAGGGGCTTAAGGTTTAGGGTTTAGGTGACACAGCCCCAAAACCTGAAACCCTTAACCCTGGAACCTGGGCAAATGACAAATCTCTGAACCTCGAAACCCCCAAAGTCCTAATTGCCCAAGCAGGGTTAGGGATTGGGTACTGCCCCCGCTCAGTAAAAGTTGGATAATATTCATAATATAGAGATCTAAGGACATTAATAGTAGCGCTATTATAGACTCTTACTGTATGGGGACCGTACCCAAGTTAGGGAGGTTGACCGATGGCTCACGGGCCTTGCACAATCGGCTTTGTGGGCCGTAGAAAAGTTAAGGCTTTTGAACTCTGCCACGACTAAGCAGTCACTTTGTTCTACCCTAAACCCTTGGGAGCCTGGTTTGCACATGTCACATGTGCCGATATGGTTTATACTTAGGCCTATATGTGTACTTTCAAGTATATACCATATGGCTACATTGAGCCTTGGGGTCATAGGCTTGTAAAGAAGGGTCTTAGAACTAGAAGGGTTGTGTACTGTCCGAGTTCTTTTAGGGCAATGGTTAAGGGGTTTACGCTTGCTGCATAAGGGCTGGGTACTATGGATTAGCGATTTGGTTTACCGGCTCAGAGGGTAGTTGGGGGTCTAGGTAAGGGTCAGGGTTTACGGGGTTTAGTGTTTAGGATTGAGGGTTTTTGTGATTACGTCTACGGATGGCTAAGGGCATAGGGGTGTAGGGTTGAGCATCCCGAACGGCAAAACCTTCAGTGCTCACTGTTCGGATAAATGTTACATGAGCCTTTGTTCAGGGTTGAGAAAGTTGGTGACTGTATTTTTCACGGTACCGTTTGCTGTTGCGAGGAAGACATCACGATGCAAAACGTGGTGCGGGGGGGGGGGGGGGGGCGAAATTGTGAGTTCAGGGCAGAGCGTGTAGGGTGTGGGTTCCATAGCTTAGAGCAGAGTGTTCGATCGTTCCCAAATAGTTCCAAGCAAGTCTCCCTATGGTTCCTTTGCCCATCCCTTCGAACATTAGTAGCTTCGATCTGGGAATGCAAGCCTTGGGTCATGGGGCTGAGTCCTAAACCCGGAAATGGAAAGCCCTACACATCAGATCCCAATCAGGCAAGAGCGGAAGTGAAAAAGCCTCTGACCATCATCACGGGCGTGGGCAGGCGAGACATGCTTGATGAATTCTTGTGACGTCAGTTTGCGCCTTAGGGTTGTTGGGGTTACCTCACTAAACGTACGTCTAGGCTCAAAAAGAACCCCCTGAAAGCTTAGGTAAAAAATTCGGACCCCAGACAACCCACACTTTCTTCAGTAAACGCCATAAGAAGCCCTAACCCGAAACCCTAACAACCCTAGACTGTGTGTACAACTGTTACCCTGCTTCGCTGACTTACGCCATGCAGGAGGCAAAAAAGCAACCCTAGACCCACTCCAGGCTTTCTGTAGCAAAGACGTTTGCAGACGGAAAAAGGGCCTTAAAAACCTAGACAATAAACCGTTCAAGCCTCCTCAAGCCTTGTAGGACCATAAAGAAACTTAGATAGTGAACGGGGGAACTTTGAATTTTTTGGCCTTATGTATTTTCTCTATCTCAGAAAGTTTGAGCTTTTTGGGGCCCGGTTGTTGAAGAAGAGATATCCCTACCTTATTGGGCTTCATTATAAGGGGTCTTAGATGGGATATCCCTATCCTAATTTTTGCTTAGGTGCTTTTTCGGGGCCCTAACCCTAAGGGTCCAAGTACCTAATAATCATATACTCTCATAAATATTGAGCTACATAACTACTATCCTAAACCCAAGTACCTGATTCTTGGGTCCTTTGGACCCTTAGGGTAAGAGAGAGAACCCAAGCAAAACCGGAAGCCCTTGGAGGAGCTCCTGGAGTCTCCCTTGGACTTACGCTTGGGGGGTTCCCTTTAAAGGGATCTATGAGGGTTCCTTTAAAGGGAACCTTAGGTTTAGGGATTGGGGTCTAGGGACCTACGGTAAACCCCAAAAAGTCGGAAACCGGATTAAGGCCAAATACTGCTGGGATTCCCTATACAGTACTCAGTACTCTTAAGGATCGAGGCTATGGGGTTTCCCACCTTTGGGCTTCTACTGTAGTGACTCAAAGGGCCCCTTCAAGGGATCTATAGTATTCTTAAGAGCTCCTATGAGGGTACTGTAGGGGTCATGGGACGTAGTACACTTATAAGTTATAAGCACCATCCCTGGGGGGATAGTTGTAAGTTATAAGTATGGTTACCGTATCTATAAGTCCTAGGCTCCTTTAAGTATGGAGCCCTCCTGAAGGCTTCATAAGGGCTCGGTAGGAGCAGCCTTTGGGCCTAATGTTCTTCTCGCGGACTCTTTCTTGGACCCCCCCGGTATACCAATCGATATGCAAGTGTAGTACTCTAATGGACTATAATCGACCAGAAATGCTCTGATGTGTATGTGCGGAAATGGACATACGCAGCGCCGCAGGCTGTGATGTGCTCTTTGTGGCGTCTAATTATAATGAGCCCTGATCACTGCAATTTCTCTGTCATGGCCAATGTTAGAAACGTATTGTCTGTATTCCTGAAACAAATCAAGGAAGGGTGTGGGAAATCACGTGCGTACACGACCAGACACGTACGCTCGCGTCGCAGTCCGAATTTCCCAGACCTTCCAACATCTCTTAATCGAGGAGTGGATATCTTAAATCATATAAAGGGTCCTACTATCATTTAAGGTATATTATTCCACGTTATTCCTTGTTAAGAGGTATAGTTGTCCATGTTATTCCTTGATGGGGATTTGCAAGTTCTGGTACTCAAGCACACTCGCCAAACGCCCCAAAGCGAGAATCTTCGGGCTCTGGAGAGTACAATCCCGTACGTGTACCTACGAGGTCCCTGTCTCTCGTTCTCGCTCTCTTTCTCTCAACCACAAAAAAATATATACACACATTTACCTATTCTGCTACTTTAGGACTCAAGTATAGGATTTAGGGCTTAGGGGTCTGGGGTTAAGGGGTCTGGTACATGGACTTCCTCACTGGGCAGGCATTCGAGAGATGAGGCAGTCATTAAGCCGATGGTCATTGCCCTCCTTGAGGACTTGGGCAAATCGTTGAGGGTCCATGGTCCAATACTTAGGAGCTGAGTACCATATGAAGCCCAAAAACGGTTAACCCTTTCCATTATGGTAGGGTTATATGAACCCGAATGGTTAAAGGGTACCTACCCAAGTACTGAGCCTACATAGAGTAGACACGGTGGCCCTCAGATTGCTAAAGTAAGGAGCCGTAATTCCGGCCAAAGTTTATACTGCATAGTAGGCTTAACAGTTGCCTCCTTTAGCTAGCCTTTCGTGTTACTATTGACACAAAGTTAGCGTGTTTATCCATGACCCTGAGACGCCTACGGTGCCACATAAACGCGTGTTTTAAATCATGTACGGCCTGTATGTTACGAAAATTATCTAAGCTTCCAGGGACCTTATTATTGGGTCCTTACGGGGTCTAGGGCCCTCACTATGAGGTTCTTAAAAGCATGGGGGTTATCACCTGTAAGATGATTGGCCCTGGACCCGAAACCCCCAACGCCTATGTAACCAAGTCCTTCAAGCCTTCCGTGGTGCATGGCAGAGTTGTTTAGGGTTTAGGGTTTTAGGGTTTAGGGTTTAGAGTTTCACTACTCCCGGTCTTTTCGCTTCCTCCTCCTCTTCCTCCTACGACGCCGACTGCTGTTGTTGCTGCTGCACATGCTACCGGTCGCTACTCAACATGGCAACAATGGCTACAGAAAGGACTGATGAACGACGACAATGTTGCAACCACAGCAAGATCAGCCTTGACCGCTGCAGCAGCAGAACTATCTACTGATCCGCCAGCTATTGTATTGGCACGTAAGTTAGGGACCCAAAAAGCACATAAGCATAAGCATTTTACCGGGATGTCGCTACCTTATTGGGCTTCCTTCTAAGGGGGTTTATATGGGATATCCCTATCCTAATTTTTGCTTATGTGTTTTTTGGGGCCATAGTAAGATCACACCAATTTCGGCAAACCTACCTCCAGTCCTTTCGCTGAGATACCAGTCGCAGGCCTTCAGGTTATCAGGGACTCCAAGATCTCTCAGTTAAGGAATATAATATACCGTTTTTATAGTAGGATCCTTGGCATGATTTACAGTACATTACCTATCTAAGGGATATTGGAGTCTCTGCATTCTTTCAAAAAGCCCTAAACCCTAAGCCCTAAACGCCCATGAGACCGGCTCCCCGAGGCTTCCCCCGAGCCCACTTGTATCCTAGAAATGCCTTACCTCCGCCCTACGGCCCCAGCATCCCGACAAATGTGCCTTGAAGCATGGCTTGATGGTATACACCAGAAAGCATGCAATATATATATATATATATATACAATTATATAATTATATACAGATAGATAGATAGATAGATAGATGTATACATATGTACATATAAGCACGATTGTATATGAATAACCCAGATAAGTAGATGTACAGATACAGATATATTACATGTTTGTGTATATATATACACACTCACACGCATCAAAAACTCTTCTTTTCCCATGAACTGTAGTACATGTCTCGTGATGTGCACCAGGAGCTGCAGCTTCCCTGCAGGCGGGTTCTGACAGAGCTGCTACCTGTGGATCCGAAAACCTACCGTTTTAAGGGTTCTGCCCTCCACTTAACGGGTCATAACCTACTCTTTTATAGGGTTTGAGGTCACAGCTATGTATGCTTGCGGACAGGAGGGGACATTAAGCAGAAGATGATGCGGTAAACGAGGACGAGGGTGATGTTGATGAAGGATTTGATTTATGCTGGTGGTTTTGTTGTTTGTGTGTGTTTGCTGCTGCTGCTGCTGCTGCTGCTGCTGCTGCTGCTGCTGCTGTCGGTGTTGTGGTTGCGGTTGCAGTCGCTGCTCATCTTTGTCTGTTAGCTTTGCTTTGCGTGAATGGTGTTGTTGTTTTTGTTGTTATTGTTATTGTTGCTAGTGTTAGTGTTGCTGTTGATGTTGCTGTTGACTGCTGCTGCTGTTGTTATTGTTGAAGCTGCTGCTGCTGCTGCTGCTGCTGCTGCTGCTGCTTCTGTTGGTGCATTTGTGGCTTGTGTTGCGATTGCAGTTGCAGTTGCAGTTGCAGTTGCTGCTGTTGTTGCTGCTGGCGGAGCTGCTGCAGCGGTGTTGGTGTTGTCGTCGTTTTGCCCTGGGTTTGTGTAAACTACGAACCTTTCAAGGGGTTAGATGCGCTGTGCTTGTAAAGTACGAGTTTCTTTTCATCATAGAACTATGTATTATAACCCTGCCATTCTGTGATTCTTGACGAGCTTCGTATGTTGAGAAACTCATCAGCTGGGACCCGGACGTCCGTCACCGCAACAGTAACCCTGAGAATAACTCCGAAATAGCTAAACCCCGAACCCAAACCGAGACCTTGAACCCACAACCCAAAACCGTTTAACCCCTATCACCCAAACCTTCCACACCCAAACCCCCAGCTCTTGTCCCCTTACGCTTGAACCCTACATACCGAACCCTCGAGTCCTCAACCTTCCCTAAGGCTCCATGTACCCATATAGTATATACTTAGGCCTTAAAGTGCCTATATAGGGACTACTTCGCGGCTTAAGTATCTATTATAACGGTACATGGAGCCTTTGGGCGTCTTATATTCAAGGCGTTGAAGTCCTGTGCTGGCCAGGTATCGTGAGGAAGCTGGTCACGTGCAGGCGACTGGTGCCCACATTGTAGAAGCCCAGCCACCTCAGCGTGTAAGGATCTGTGATTTTGCGCGCGAAATTTTATGAAGTCGTTTAACACAGTGTGTTTTTTAGGCTTTCGGGATAGGGCCCCAAGCTGAAAGCTACATACATACTTTTGTAGTAGTCTACTCTACAGATCCGTAGGTATTTGGTTGCAGGGTTCAGTATACACTGCTTTGGAGTTCTAGCATTGGAGAGCTTCAGCACCAGAAGATACGTCTTACAAGCAACTGCTTCAAAGTTGCCACGTGAAAGTATAGTATGTATCCTTGCAGCAATCGTCCTTAATTCCATGTTCTAACTTTTGTGGAGTTTCCCCGAGGGATCTAAGAATTTGGGCCCAAAGACCATACTATATAAGGCTTTAGGGCTTTTAGCGTTTAGGGTCTAAGCCCATGCTGAAAGGGGTGGGGTTCTAGGTGCAGCGTTGACCTGACGGGCGCGAGCAGCCTGAAGCTGAGGGGTGCCAAACACTGCAAATCCCTGAGCTAGCCCTAAGGGTCCATGTACCTTTAAGGGTTACCATAAGGGTTCCTTTCAGGAGTCTGTAAAGGGTATCATAAGGGTTTAGGGTTAAGGGTTTAAGGGTCCATGTACCTAAATAGTATATACATTGGCCTTAAAGTACTCCCTATATGGGTACATTGGGCCCAAAGTATATACTATTTGGGTACATGGACCCTTAGGGTAGGTAATATCCCAGAGAGTCCAAGTACCTCGGCAAGAACCTCATTCTAGGGTCGAGCTATACCCCCCACTGCACTATCCTCTCCTACCTATTCAAGCGCAGAGAGTCCAAGTACCCAAATAGTAGGGTTTCAGGTCCCGTAATCCATACTCTGAAAGGTTTTTGGAGTTTGAAACCCTACTATTTGGGTACTTGGACCCTTAGTGTATTCTTTAACCAGCTGCAATGCGGATCCCTCTGCACTCTACGGTATATCTTTTGAAGCCTTTTAAGAAATGCTTCTGTTTCTCTGTTATGTAAAGGCACAGGAATAGACGAATATACCTTAAGTTCTAGTAGGATCCTAAATATGATTGAAGGAATAGTCCCTAAGGGATTCTGTAGTCTCCGGGTACCCTAAACCCTGAATACTACAGATCTCTGAAAGGAACCCTTGAGGATCCCTTAAACGAACCCTTAGAGGATCCCTTAAAGGAACCCTTGAAGCATCCCTTAAAGGAGCCCTTAAAGGATTAAGGAGCCCTTCAAGGAATCCTTAAAGGATAAGGCTCCCTGAAAGGAACCCCTTAAAGATCTCTGGGTACAGCAGGTGGCTAGGATGCCCAGTAGTACCCTTATTCCCTTTTTGTAGTCCTAGGTTCCTTATAAAGTTACCCAATACCAAAAAGAGAGGCCTTTTTATTCTTAGGTTACTGGGTATCCTAGTAACCCTGAACCCCTAAACCCCTAAACCCTAAACCCCTAAACCCTTAAAAAAAAAACCCTAAACCCTAAACCCCTAGACCCTAAACCCTAAACCCCTAAACCCTATGCTAGGTGGCGTCCCGGTTCATGACCTCCGACCTAGTCCAGCGGATCGAGAGGCTGCTGGGTACCGAGGCCTGGGCCCTCCTTAAGAACCGTGGGGGGTTCTTTTTAGGGTTCAGGGTTTAGGGGTTCAGGGGTTTAGGGTTTAGGGGTTGAGGGTGTAGGTTTAGGGGTTTAGGGTGTAGAATTTGGGGGTTTGGGGGGTTTCGTCGCTTCAATGTTGAGGGTTGTGAGAGTTTGGGATACTGTAGTTTGGGTGCTTTGTATAGACCCGGGCTTCAGGGTTGTCCGGGTTTTATAAGAGTGGGTTTTGAGGGGTCTTGTGAGACGACAGATCATGCGAGTACACGGTCAAATCTGAGGTAGGATGGGGGGTTTCTTCGTGGCATGTATGGGTGGACATGTCAGCAGCATATGGAAATGCAGTTCCGTGTTGCAAGAGCCGGCACCACTCTTGCAAAACGGACCCTAAAGAGGGACCCTGGTTTAGGGAACTACCCATGTGCTGTGTAGAGGAGTGATGAATGAGGATTTGCTGCCGGGTTTCCTCATGGGTTGCGCATTAACGGGATGACCACTGGTTGTGGTTTGGAGTCATGGGTTTAGGGTTTTCGCGTTCAGCAGTTTAGATTCTTGGGGGTGTGTCTGGACATGTATGTACTCTATATTCTCACGTATTCTCGCAATCCTCGAGCCCCAGCGGTCGTACCAAAACTCAGTTCCTTGGTTCTTTGGAGATAGACCGCTATTTTTTAAGTCCGAGGCCCTTTAGCCACCCTCTAGCCTGGACCCTGAAACGTACAAAGATTCAACCGATGTGACACGAGTCGTTGACTGGGATACATATGTGCAGATCTCCCTATCGCTGCAACATGGGCTCTCCGGTGTCCGCCCTTTCAAAGATTCTACGCCAAGTCCCCTCCTAAGAACCCGTTACATTTTCTTATTCCGAAGCGGATCGATCCCTTCATCGTCCTAAGGTGTTAAACAAGCCAGAAACCCTTAAGCCTGCACCTCTACCAGGACCCCCCAAGTGCACTCTAAAGGGCTCTGATAATATTTCTATATTTCTCATTAAGAAGTACTTCGGGGCTACAAGAAAGGGTAGTTGGGAGGTCTAGGTACCCTAGCAGGGGTGGAGGAATGGGGTACAATTATAACTACTGTTACTACCATTCTTCCATTCCCTACTAACCAAAGGTAAGTCTAGGGACAGCCTAACCTCGGGATCATTTTCCAGACTTCCAGGAGCTGCGGCAGTTCGCGAGCATCTCGGCGCTTCAAGGCTTTAGGTTCGATGGGTTTAGGTTTAAAGTTAAAAGGGGGCCGGTCGATCCAAATCAGGACTCCGCATGTTGACCAACGCGCTTCTGCAAGCTCACCACGAAGCTTGATCCTCAAACTCTATTCCAGACTTCGGCTCAGTGGCTGACCGAAATCTATCTCGGTCGACTAGACCGACTAGACATCATCCAACGCAATGGCCGAGGCCATATGAATTATATCCTTTCTTTCCCGTTGTACACCGAAAGAAGAATAATGTCCCTTGAAGCAACTGCTGAGTTGCACCAACACCCTAAACCCTAAACCCCTAAACCCTGTCCGAGTGTGAGCGCCGAAACCCCTAAACCCTATACCCTAAACCCTAAACTCTAAACCCTAAACCCTGAACCCTAAACCCTAAACCGCCGAGGCTTAGACATTGACGATGCGCCCTTGCTTTCGCTTGTGTAGCTGAAAAAGGGCGGCGCCAGGGCTAGGGGATGTCTGGGTTTCAAAGGGGACAGGAGGGACCCTTAGGGTTCCTTTAAAGGGATCTATAAGAGTCCCTTTAAAGGGATCTATAGGGTTTAGGGTTTAGTTTAATCAAAGGGGAAAGGAGGGACCCTTAATGGGGGACCTTGATTATATAATGGGTATATAATGGCTATATTAAGGGTATATAATGGCTATATGTATATAATGGGTATATAATGGCTATATTAAGGGTATATACCTAGGGGGCCTTATTAAGGGTCCCTCCTTTCACCCTCGGAGGGTTGTTCATCAGCCGCTGACCAGGGAGCCAGTAGCCTTTGTGCGCGTTTGCGTGTGCATATGCATGGATGGATGACGGGATGAACACATGAATGTTTGTTTATCTGTATGACTGCCTGTCTGCATGCTGTTGGACAGGGAGCCCAGCAACTCATTAGACGGTTCGTGTCATAGCTTAAGCCCTCAACCGTAAACCGTAACATAGTCCGTACAGCTAACATTACCACTACTACGCTAGTATCACTTTACCCTAAACCCTAAACCGTCCCCAAAGCCCTTTCCTAAGTCTTCAGGCCCCTGTACCCGAAAGCCCCAACCCTATTCCCTACACCCTCTTCGAGTTCTTCGGGCCCCTATTTTATAGTACCTTTGTAGAAGAAGCCCTTATTATACTTGGAGGGACAGGGGACATAGTAAGTAGGTTATTTATAAGTAGAGTTATAAGTACCCTAATACCCTAAATGCAGTTGCCCCAATTATAACCCTACCTATAAACGACTTACTAAGTCCCCTGCCCCTCCAAGTAGGGGCCCCTTTAAAGGAACCCTTTTTTAGTATTGCAGTGTATTCATGATAGGTTTTAAGGGTTCAGGTCTGACACCGGCCCCTTCAACCTGACGCTCCGAAACCGGTGCAGTGTCTTTGCAGGGTCTACTTAGGGGTACTTAGCAATAATTTTTAATTTTTGGTTATTATAATCCCTAAGAAACAGCTAAAATTATAAGTTTTGCTAAGGTTCTAAGTTCAGTATAGGCTATAGAGTTTAAGATTAGGGTTTGGGGTTTAAGATTAGGGCTCAGAGGCTTGCGGGTCTCGATGCTAGAGTTTGCGTGTTCTTGGGTGTTCTGGGTTCCTACTGGTGCTGTTTCTCTTGAGTTCAAGTCTTCACGCGAAAGAATGTGGCAGAGGTCGAAGACCCTTCACGCAAAGAGTTTCCGAACTTTGGGTTACGTTGTTTTGCCATGTGCGCAAACTCTGTCACTATGTGTTGGTCGAATACTACAAGTCTATTCAGTCTAATGTTGGGATGGAGTTCGCGAACCTATGGTCCAAGTCTCTGAGAGCCTAGAAACCCCACACCGTGAACCCTTCAAGCGGTTTCAGGCGCTTTAAGCTTTTTTCCCCACCAAACTTATGACCCAGGGCTCCTGATACTGTTTGGTCTCCAAGCCCGTCTTTTTCAACCTTTGCATTACCCAGAGGGTCCAAGCACCCAAATAGTAGGGTTTTAGGTCCAAAAATCCATACCCTGAATGGTTTTTGGACCTTGAAACCCTACTATTTGGGTACCTGGACCCTTAGGGTTACATCCCCAAAACCCTGCACACGTTGCACACGCCTTGTGCAAATCTTGTATTCTCCCGCAAGCCCTAAACCCCATTAGCCTTGCAGTGGCCCTACAAGCGCTATCAAACTTTTATCACCCCAAATCCTATAATCCTCCAGGCCCACCATAGAAACATGAAGGGAACCTTCACGGGAAACCCCCAAAGAATCCTGAAGCTTCACAAATCCTAAGCAGAAGCCCTCACGAGCCAGATCGCTGCCGCCTTTCGTCCTGATGCGCCCTTCGCCGGCTACCCGCCCGAGGCTACCTGGGGCTTCGCGGGAAGGAAGAGAGAGAGAGAGAGAGAGTGATGAGTGAGTGAGTGAGTGAGTGAGTGAGAGAGTGAGAGTAAGAGAGAGTGAGAGTGAGAGTGAGACTGAGAGCGAGAGCGAGAGTAAGAGTGAGAGTGAGAGAGGGAGAGCAAGAGGGAAAGGGAAATGGAGAAGGAGAGGGAGAGAGGGCTGGAGAGAGAGAGAGAGAGAGTCTAGGGTTTGAGCTTGGAGTCTGTCGTTGTCGGCTGCGGCTGCGCAGGAATGTGGATCCGCAATTCGTTCTGCTTGTTGTAGGATTTGTCAGGGTATTCTTCAGGGTTTGGCTCTTGCTTTAGGCCCTAAAAGTGTAAAGACGACTCGCTCGGACCGGGCTGCTGGACAACGAGGCCTGCTGCAAAAAGGCTTTAGGGCCTTCAGCAGCTGAATTTGTTAGTTGTATCTTCCTTGCTTGGTTGCTCTTTATTCTTGTTTATTTCGGGTTCCTGGCAGTGTAGGTGTTGCAACCCGAAACACTGCTGATTACATAGAGCTATTTGTAACAGTATCTATGAAGCACCACATCGTCCCCGAAAGCATCAACAACGCAAACGACTTTGCATTCCTGACATGTACCATGGGAACCACACCGTGCACCCGAAACCGCGCGGCTGAAACAGATGGCAACATGTCCTCAAACTCCAAACCCTAACGCCCCCAAGCCCTTTTCTTTGAGACCCCATACACGAGCATTGACAAAATTAATGCAACCCTAGTGTTTGCTTGTTCAGAGCTCCCTTAAGCTCAAAACCCTAAACGTTCAAGGGGCCCCATTTCTAACACGAACCTACACAACAAAAATAGGAAATGGTAGTTTAAAGTAGGCTCATACCCTACCCTGTTTGTTTAGGGTAAATACTTGTTTAAACAGCCGATCCAAACCATAAAACTAGGTACCCTAACAACGGAGCAGGGCATGACCCTGTATACCTTTCATGTGCATATTAAGCCCTCTACAGAAGAAGATGTTTTCTCATTTGCCTTGTCGTGAACAGCCTTGGCAAATCCTCTCGAAGCCTTAAAGCCCTATGGGAAGTTCTGTATGTCTGAAATAAAGTAGATGTGCTGGCCAAACCAGAGACCCCCCAAACAATAATTCAATAGAGCCTAAACCCTTTTTCTGTCGAAGGGAAGAAGAGAGAGCCTGCTCTTTCTTTCGGGTCTTCAAAATTGGTCACTTTCATTGAAGAACTGGACGTTGACCATGATGCCCCTGTGGTCCCCTTTGCAATTGAAAGCTTAGGGAAGCCTGTGAAGAAGCGTGAGTTCAGGAGAGTGGAGTTGTCAAATTTGCTTGGGGATCTCCGAGTGGAGAACCTGAAGTTCTACCCGGGAGGTCTTCTCGCTTTGGGATATTTTGACGACAAGAACGAAGTGAAGACGGGGACTGTATTCATGATTTTGACTCAGTCCGGCGCGACTTCATCTCCTGTTGGGAATGCAGCTCACGCTGTGCCAGTGTTTGAGGCTATCAACTTTTTTAGGAGCGATGCCAAGCCTGCTGACCGTGCTGCTTTTCTTCGCAAGCATCTACTTGCTGAAACGCAAGTTTTTCAACACAGTTTGATCCTCGCCTGCTTGTCTAGTTGTGAGTGCTGAAACCCTAAAGCCCTAATGATTTAAACCCCAAGGACCTAACCCCAAAGTCCCTTAGCCCTACAGCCCTTAACCCTCAGAACTTAAGTTCTAAATCTTTCAGCATAAAATACCCTGCAACCCTAAACCCCTTAATCCTCATGTCAGAACAACAACCTCACACCCCAAGCCCCAAACCCCGGAAATCCTTGAGAAGTCAAAATTCATGAAACATAAACCCAAAAATCCTTAACAACAACTTGAACCCTAAACCCTATAAACCCCTAAAGCCCCTAAACCTGTAAGCCCTTAAACCCCTAAACCCCTAAACGTAAACCCCAAAATCATAAACCCTAAACCCCTAAACACCTAAACCCCTTAACCCCTTGACCCTAAACTAAACCCTAAACCCCTAAACCCTAAACTAAACCCTAAACCCCTAAACCCTAAACAAGACCCTAACCCCCTAAACTAAAGCCTAGACCCCAAACTCCTTAACCCTAAACCCTAAGCTAAACCCTAAACCCCTAAACCCTAAACAAGACCCTAACCCCCTAAACTGAACCCTAGACCCCAAACCCCTTAACCCTAAACCCTAAGCTAAACCCTAAACCCCTAAACACTAAAATCCTTAGAAAAGCCCAAACCGCCTCGGAGGCTCTGGGACCTCCGCGGCTTTCCTTTGCTGCTGCGGTCTTTTGGGCCACTTGGGTTTAGGGTTAAGGGTTAAGGGTTTAGGGTTTTAGGGGTTTAGGGTTTAGGGTTAAGGGTTTAGGGTTTAGGGTTTAGGGGTTTAGGGGTTAGGGTTTAGGGTTTAGGGTTTAGGGCGTTTAGGGTTTTGAAAAGGTCAACCTTTTCCGAGCAGGTAGCCGTTTTAGGGTTTAGGGTGCTGGTAAGGGGCTCCTGTTAGGATCTAGAGGGGTTCTGTAAGGGCTAAAAGTGGCTGGGTAGGTTACCTTAATCTGTTTACGGTTTCGGGTTTGGGGTTTAGGATCGTATACTTGGAAGGGCAGGGGGCTTATGGTACCCTTAATTTTCGGACACTCCCATATGTACCCTCGATGAGTCCCCTGCCCCTCCAGCTAGGGTACCAGCCCCGAAGTTTAGGGTTTAGGGGTTTAGGGCGGAGGTATCTGCAATGAAATTCGAGGGTGAAGCTTCCAAAGCTTTCTGTTTGAACTGTTGTTTGGGCTCTTATGGTTTACCGTTTGCCTTAATCGTGCAATGGAGATGGCGCCTTCTAATTGCTTGCATGATCTTGGTGGAAGGACTGTTTCTTAGGAACCTTTTGGGGTTCGCATGATCCTGCCATAAATGAAAAGGTTGACCTTGCTTGCGCTAGGGTACTTAGCCCCTAAGCTCTGGATGAGTGCCAGCATTTGCTCTACCCAAACTTCACCATCCATCCTCGGGTCCCCGTGAGTCTAAGATTTTGCGTTGAGGAGTTCATGGCTTAGGGATTAATTGGGTAGTTTTGGCGATCCCAA